ATTTTGAATGGGTGTGCTCTGTACGGTTATTCTTTTACTGCTTCCAGGTGTCGCCCTCTTTAAAAAAACTTGGCTGGGTTTCGCTGAAGGCGGGGGCTAAACTGGGGGCGATATTCTCTACATATACTGACTCGTATACAAACTGGAGGGGGACTTTCTTCTGGATAGAGCCGATTCTAGGCGAGGGGGAATTACCCTTCTTTGTTGATCGAGAGAGTGGGGAAAGCCGGATCGAACTGTATTGGAGTAAAGCACACTATGAGCTTTCGACCAATAAGTATTCGTCTGGGTATGAATATTTGTCCCGGGAAGAGATACTGGTAGTTGATTGGTTTCTGGAGGTTAGGAAGGGCTTCAAATTGTGGCCTATGAAGAAAGTGTTGTGTTATAGAGGTGTGGCGGTATTTTGATTTGTTTGTGACTTTTTTTGTAGGTGTTTATCTCCTTTACTAACGTCTATATCTTTATGTCTTGTAGTTGAAAGTTTGTCGATGGATACTTTGAGAATTGTGCGCGAGGCGGCTGCCAAGGTTAGGGCTGATAGTGGCGGGGTTCCTCGGGCCACGCTTGTTCCCGCCGCACAAAGAAATGATACTGACAAAGGCAAGAAGAAGAAGGTTCATCGCCCAAAGAAGAAAATCTGATCTGCGGCTGATATTCCTACTGTCGAGCTGGCGAAGAGGGCGGCTGGGCCCATAATTAAAGAAACAGTGGACTGGGTGGGTGGTTCATCCGCGAGTGAGTCTACTTTCGGGTCCATCTCACCTGGGCGTGAGAGTTCCGGATTGAAGAGGGCGAGAGATGAAATGTTGGCATCGGCTGGGGGGGCCCAAGACGTTGCGCCTTGAGCCTCCTGAGTCTAGGCGGTTGACCGATGACGAATGCTACGCTCCCTCCGATTTTTTCGAAGGTTCAGGCGATGCTGGAATGATGGTGACCAGTCCTTCATATGTCGAAAGGCCCCAGACGGCTACGGGTGTGCAGGTAATGCCTTCACCTGCTGTAATCCCAGTCGGCAGGATTTTAACACTGTCGAAAAGAGATCTTGACTCTAGCTTTGTCAAACCTGTGCTGAACGTGGAGGTGCCTGACCAGATCAACCGCCAACAAATCCTTAATTGTACACAAGTAGTTCTTAATCGAATTTTGGGTATCCAAGAAATTGCCCTTGCTGCCGACAGCCGTTGTTCCGCCCAGGAGGATCGCCTTAAAGAGACGGGGCGTAAGGTGGATGGCTTGACCGCTGACGTAGGGCGACTTGGGAAGGAAGTCAATGACTTAAAGACTGCAAACAAATCTCTGACTGCGTCGTTGAAGAAGGATAGTGAGGAAATTAAGCGGTTGACTTATGAGAGAGATGACTTGTGGAAGTCACTAGAAGAGTGCAAGTCGGAAAAGAGCAGTATCCAATATGAGAAAGACAGATTATCAGTCGAATTGGCCTCGGTGTATGGGAACTTGCACGCTGCCCAAGAAGATTCCAAAAAATATGCTGAGAAGGTGAAGGAGCAGGAATGTGCCTTGGCGAGTCTTCTGTATTTGTCTTTTAACAACGCACTCCAGCAAATCTGCGTTTGACATCCTAATTTTGACATTACCGGTTTTAGCCCTGAATACGAGGTGGAGGGAAACCAGATACTTCAGCGGATGTCGAATGGGGAAGCGGTTGTGATTGAGGAGGGTCCTGAGACTGATGAGGATGAGGATTCTCAGGAGGCTCCTGCTGTTGAATGTGCGGCCGGCGGCGATGAAACTGGGCAGGGCTTGTCATCGGAGCTTGCTAGCGTCGCACTATCTGGTCCGAGCATGGAGGGTGGTGGTGGGAGTGTTGTTGTTGCTGACACGGTTCAACCAGCCTCGATGGCTAAAGAATAGGTGGTCCCCGTGGAATGCCGCCAAGCTTGAATTTGTAACTTGTATTTTCTTCTTTTTGATGTGTTAACCTTTCTTGTCTGTAATGACTTTTTGATCTTGAATGAAGCTTATTGCGCCTTAATTTTTAACCTTTGTTATTTGCACATGCTTGTATGCTGAGGTGAAAACCGTCCCGTATTTGTAAGTTGGCTGGGGGTGAGAACCATCTCAGTCCAACGTTTGGCGGGGGTGAAAACTGTCCCGTACTTGTAAGCTGGCTGAGAACCGTCCCAGTCCAACGTTTGGCAGGGGTGAAAACCGTTCCATACTTGTAAGCTGGCTGGGGGTGAGAACCGTCCCAGTCCAACATTTGGCGGGGGTGAAAACCGTCCCGTACTTGTAAGTTGGCTGGGGGTGAGAACCGTCCTAGTCCAACGTTTGGCGGGGTGAAAACTATAAGCCCACAGACAACGCCAATGTACCGTTTGAGAACTATAAGCCCACTATGTTCCCTGTAGGGATTGAGTCACTATATGGATTATGCTCCAAGCGTTGGTAGAGACCAAGCTCAAAGACACTGTTCCAAGTATATATGCAGATGAAAATAGGTTGAGGTGTGTGTAAGTATTACTCAATGTAAATGGGCAGAATAACGATACATGAAAGGATCCCTTCCTTGTGTGTGGAAGGGTATACTTATAGAGGGAGATGCCCCTTCCTGGTATGGGTTGGTGTGGAGAAGGTCAACTCTCCTTGGGGTTGGTTTACGGTGCAGGCACTGCTATGATACAGTGATGCACCTTCTGTGCCTGGCGGTGTCAGCACGCGGCAAAGAGCAGCTGCTTCTTATGGTAACTGGGGTGGCATCTTTGGGGGTTATGGTCCTGAGATAAGACACTTTGGTGTCTCATCTTGAGAGTATCGCCGGGGGCGAGGGAGCTGAGGATCATTAGGGCTGACGTGGACAATAAATTTGGGTTTGAGTCTTTGGGCTACTAAGATATTGTGCCATCCGGAACACAAATGTTAATACTCTTACCAAAAAAATGTTAATATGTTTTTTTTGGTAATTAAAATGTTAATATGTTTTACTATAATTAAAAAGAGATGATAAAATCATCATTATAAATTAGGTATGAAAATCTATCACTTATATCTAGCTTTATTATAATTTTTAAAATTTATATTCTATTTTTATATTCATGAGTACAAAAAAGTGAAAAACCATGATAGTGGGTTTTGTCACTTCCATCTCAACTCGGCGAGTGCTTTTTTTTTTTTTTTGACAAGTATGTCTCTTAACTAATACAAAATTAAAATATTACACTAGGTATAATTTTTGGGAGGGTTTAACTTTTCTTATAATGTAGGATTGTAGGAGAGAAAAAAAGTAGAGAGAAGTTAAATGTGGGTTCCATATTTTATATTAAAAAAGAAAAGAAAATTATTTGGCACGGAAAACGAATTGTGTAGGAAAATGAGAGTATCTCAAGTGGCATGAGAGTATTATTTCCCTTTTTGGAATGGATTTTTGTTAATTTATGATGATGTAATATGAGACAATCTTAATTATACAAAAAAAAAAAAAAATGGAGATCAATAATGATAAGAGAATAAAGAGAAAAAATATTGGGAAGATAGTTACAAAATCATTACTATTAATTTATCTTTATATGATTAAAATTCTCATATATGACATGGTCATGTTAAATAAAACATGAGTGTTCATTTTTCATATTTTTTACCTTTAGTTTTATTACAAACTCCACATTTTATTGTTTTATTATAGAGAATAATGTTTGTCATTTTAAGAGAGATATAGACACAAAATATTATTTTTTATTTAAAATTTAAATTAAAAAAAAAACCACCCACTCTCTCTCATGATTTCCATTCCTTGTGTCTATCTTTCTCTTAAAATAACATAATTTATATCATTTAAAATGACAAACATCAAACCCTTTATTATATTTTTACTATCAACTGAAAAACTAACCAAATTATCATTTTGAATTAACAAGAAGAATATACTACTGAAGTTCATTCTTATTTTAAAAATATCTGAAATTATTAATTTTACATAGAGAATGTTATACTTACAACCTATTTTCATTTACAATCTCTTACAATCATGTCTTAACCGTTGATTTCCGCCAATCAACGGTTATCATTTATTATGAATTAATAATTAATTAATTAGTTTAATTTGGAAAAATAATAACCGTTAATTGACAGAAATCAACGGTGTTAAGATATGATTGTAAGATGTTGTAACTTGTAACAAATATAGGTGGTAAGTATTACTCTCCTCTTTTACATAACCTAAATTTCGATATTATATCTTTGAATTTTCGAATTTTTTTCATATTTTTTCATTTTTGATATTTTACCAAATAATCACAGAACTTTTACACGAGAAAGAAAAATAGTAAAAAGTAAGAAAAAAGAGCTCAATAATAATAATAATAATAATAAAAATTTATGCGTTGAAATAGCTTGACGCGCTCACCTCCTTCCATCGTTGTCACATTCAAAGCTCAGGTTCGATTCTCTCTCTCTCTTTCTCTTTCTCTAAAGTTTGAAACTTGAAATGAATGGGACACTGAATAATTATGGGTTACCCATTTCCTTTCCATTTGCTTCCTTCTTTGTTTTTTAAACTGATTTTTCTTCTTCTGCTTCACTTCTGCTTCTTTTTGCAGTTTTTCTTGGTATGATGGGGGCACTTGGTGACTTTAATATTATTATTATTATTATTATTATTATAATATGTAATCAAATGACTTTTCCCTTTGTTCTATTGGCTATTTCTTCTGATGGGGTTTGTTTGTTTTCCAAGAATCTTACTCAAAAGTCGCCATTTGTCAATGTTATATGTATGGTTAGTCACCTTATGGTGAAAGTCATATGAAGTATGCAAAATAAAATAATGATTACTCTTTTGTATACACGTTTTCCTTTCCATGGTACATGGAATTTTTCTCTTCTCTTTTTAGTTTTTAATTCTAGTTCTTTGTTGAGGGGAGATTCCACACTCCATTTATTGTATTCTTCAATAGGCTGTGTCTTTGGGCTGTGTGGCACTCATGCATTATGTCCTTTGTTGCAGTTTGGTCTGATTTAGTGGCTTTCAACAAGAAGATTGGATGGGATTTGCTTTTTCTTTTGGTTTGTTGGATGGTTCAGTTTCCTCTTTTGACTTTGCTAGTCCAAGCAAAGAAATTCAATGGCTGGTGTCTGTCTTCACCGGCATCATCTTCTGTGTTATTGTAAGTAAAATGTGTTGTTCATCAAATTTATCAGTGATTTCTTTGTTGCAAAAGCTTCGTAATGTTTTTGAAACTTTGTCTCTATGAACCATGGTAGGATTTTTAATGTCTTGATGGAGAAGCAGAAATGCAGAATATACTTTTATAAACATCACAAGGAAAAGAAAAGGGAAGGGGTGGTGTTGGGGGTTAGGGATATGCCTTTTTCTTGAATTGAAGTAAGATGAGTGATAACTCAGATGAAGGATTGAACATTTATATTTATTATTTGAGGGAATTAATACTTGTCGATCTTGTATACTATTATCCAAAAAGCAGGATCAGTTATGGAATGTGAAATTCATACTGCAGGAATTACTACTAGTCTTTTGACATTAATTCTCTATAAGGTTCTGAATGTAATTTGGATTTTGGAGAGTAGGTATTCTTCCTAAATTGTGTAACTTGGTTTCATAAAAAATATTTCAATTGAATAGGAAGAGTTTCCATTCTTATGCGTTTTGATGATGGAGTTTTTTTCATAAAGGCATTGTATATAGGATGCAGGGTCAAGTGGGTAGTTTTGGGATATCCTTGGACTGAAATTGCAGTTGTGCTTACTCTGGTTTGGGAAGAAATATTTCTTTTTAAATGCTCTGCTGGTTTCTTCAGTTCAAAGAAATATGGTTCAGTCTTATTATTTAGTTTATATTCCTACCAAAATAGTTTTTCATAGATGATGATTCCATTCCTTTAAAAATAATTCTAAAGAAAACTTGAATGCTAAATATTTTATGCATAAATGAGTAGTCTTGTTAACATAACAATTGAAGATGATATTTAGCATTAGAGTTTAATGCCTTTTACTAAATCCAAGTTTTTTTTCTTCTATATTTTTCATAGTTTGAACTTCCGATAAGTGAGTGTGTATTCCTTTTATGACTCTCATATCCAATTGGATTGGGACTTAATGACACCCTGGATAGTTTCTTTAAAAGAAATTTTTTATTGATGGTATCTTGGTCTAGGTCATAGTAGTTAATTGTGCCGCAATAGCGCCGCGAGCCGCACCGTATGGACGTTGTGGTGCCTCACTGCAAGAAACCTCTCCTCACCACATCGGAACGCAACAACGGCCATTGCAATCGCAAATTGCGGCCATATTGCTGTCATAAGGCAAAATGTCAATTTTGTCCTAAATTTAAATGTGTAATAGAAAATTTTTAAGGGTTTTTTAGTCTATCTGTGTCTCTCTCTGTCATTTCTGTTATCTCTGCCTTTAAAATGTTTCTTTTTATCATTATTTCTGTCATATATCTATTCTGCTATTTCCGCATCCGCAACCCGCTATAACGGTATAGCGTTTTTTGGGGTTGTCCGCGACATGCCGCAATCTGCATTTGATAACTTTGGTCTAGGTAGAAGTGAGCTCCAAGTATTTGTTTCTGTAGCTTTAGATCCTGAAGTCTTTACTCTCTTGGTTATTTGAGAGGGTAAATTAAGAATGGAATCAGAGTTTAAAATTTTAGGTTTGTTATATAGATGCACATAGTGTTCATTCATTCACTTTTCTATTTATTCTTCTTGTTTAAACATATGTTCAGTTTTATCTGAATGGGGAGATAATCCCAAAAATTATCTATTCATATTAAGGCTACTTTGTTAACAATTTTGTAACTTGATCCTTTTTAATTTTTTTTTTCTTGAAGGTTTATAGATTAACTGCTATTTTGAGTTCTCTGTTGTTTATGGGATATGGCAAATTGAGCAGTGCACAGAGAATTGAATGGAATAACCGGTAAAATGCCTTTGTATAATGATTTCTGTTTGTATTGATTTTGTCCATGATTGACTTTTTATACTAACTTCAACACATTTTTCAATGCAGGGGATTCTCAACATTTCATGCACTTTTTGCATCATTTGCATCATTATACCTCCTGACTTTATCAGATATCTTTAATGAGGGCTCGCAAGCAGAGCTAGTTGTTAATAGATCATCTACTTTCTCAAATTCAGTATTGGGGGTACGTTGATGAAGATATAGTCAAAATTTGACTTGTTTGATTTGACAAAAGTTGTTTTTTAAATTCTTTCACAGTCTAATTAGATTTAGTAAAAAATGATGCATGTGAGGGGATGAAATGGGTACTCTTAAAACATGATCGTTACTTGCAATTGGCAATGACATCCTTTGCTACATCTATCTTTCTTCTTAGAAAAGAGAGTTTTGGGTGAATTTTAAATCAGCCCTTTTAATGACAAGTTTTCCGTCAATGGAAGCAGAGATATACAGCATACAAGTGAACATATATTTTTTGGGAACTTATGAGGCAATTGGAAGTTGAATAATTAGAAAGTCGGAAAGTTGAGTAGGTAGATGAAGAACCCAAGTAATACAGATGGCTATAAGGCTTGCTTTGTTTGTGAGAAATTGAGGAGCAATTCAAGTTGAGAGTAGTTGGAGGATCACAATGTTGAATACTGAAAAATATTTACAGTTTAGTGGAGGGTGAAGTTTGTTATTGCTTGTTATTACTGATTAGTTGTAGTATTAGGGATGGTTTTGTAGCACATAGCAGTATATTATCTGTAATGTTAACAGCAACAATGGTCAATTAACATAACAACTGAGAATGAAATTAATGAGAACTCTGTAATGGTTTTCTGGTATTGAAGTAATAAAGGAAATAGAACTCTGTTACATTTAGAGCAATTCGAGAGTGCTCTATTCTCTCCTCTTTCTTACTCTCTAACTGACTGACTACTCTCTCCTCACCTTCCCCATTACATATAACAAATTACAATCCATTACACGCATCCTACACCACCCAAACCCGTAACAACCTGTAACTGATTATTCCATCACGCTCTCCTACCCCTCATCAGCTGCCAAGTCCTCCATACTGACTTCTTCCACGTCCTCACTATTGACTTCTTCCACGTCATCCTCAAGTGTCCTTTGGCTGACTTCTTCCACGTCATGCTCAAGTGTCCTTCGGCTGCGTCTTTGGTATACCTGAATAGGCTTTGTTACAATACTCCCCCCCAAATCATTCACCTTGTCCTCAAGGTGAAAATCAGGAAAACGATGCAAAATAGAAGAAGCCAATTCCCATGAATTCTCAAAATCAGGAAGATTATGCCACTGAATCAACACCTCTGTGAATCCGGATGCATCCAGACGATGCTGCAATACCTTAATAGGCTGAACCACTAACTCCCACGAATCTGAAAGCATAGGAGGCAGAGGTTGCACCATAATCGAAGGCTGGACAGCTCGCTTAAGAAGGGAAATATGGAAAACAGGGTGCACTTGAGATCCACGAGGCAACTCCAATTTGTATGCTGCAGCACCAATGCGTTCTATTACCTTATAAGGACCATAAAAACGGGGACTAAGCTTTTCATTCATTTTCCGAGCTAAAGACTTCAACCTATAAGGTTGCAATTTTAAGAACACCCACTCACCAATCTGCAACTCCACATCTCTACGTCGTTTATCCGCATATTGTTTAAAACGACATTGTGCCTGAGCCAAGTTTTGATGTAATTCCTGCAGCATCACATCTCTTTCTTTAAGCAATTGTTCCACTGCATCCACACGTGAAGGATGATTGCCACTACGAAACAAGGTGGGAGCATCCCTCCCATACAAGGCCTTAAATGGGGTCATACCTGCAGACTCATGATAATTGGTATTAAACCAAAATTCAGCCCAATGTAACCAAAGAATCCATTGTTTGGGGCGGGGGTGACAAAAACAACGGAGATAAGTTTCAACACATTTATTCGTCACTTCCGTCTGACCATTTGATTGAGGATGATAAGCCGAAGAGAACTTCAAGGATGATCCAGCTGTACGAAACAACTCTCCCCAGAATGAGCTCATGAACACCCTATCTCTATCAGAAACAATAGACAATGGAAACCCATGCAAACGCACAACCTCCTTGATGAACAGATTTGCCACATCCTTTGCAGAAAAAGGGTGTTTCAAAGCAAGGAAATGAGAGTACTTAGTGAAACGATCAATGACCACCAAAATAGTGTCAAAACCATTGGACCGAGGCAGACCACCAATAAAGTCCATAGCAATGTCTGTCCAAACCTGAGATGGAATGGGAAGAGGCTGTAATAAACCCGCAGGAGCCAAGGTAGAGTGTTTGTTACGTTGGCAAATCTCACAAGCTGTCACATGAGCATGAATATCCTTTCGCATGCCCTCCCAAAATACACAATTACTGATGCGCTTGTAAGTTTTATGGAACCCGGAGTGTCCCCCAACCACAGAATCATGGAACTCCATAAGAACTTTTGGAATCCAAGAAGAAGACTTAGCCAAAACCAATCGGTTTCTAAAGAACAACCGCCCACCCTGCAACAGGAACCCCGCATGAGCATCTGGGTTGACCAATAGCTCCTGAATCACCTTGCTCATCCTAGCATCTTGTTGTAATTCATTCTGGATCTCATCCCAACCATCGAATTGCATCTGTGTGATAGCATGAAAACACATTTGTCTAGATAAAGCATCAGCAACTGTATTTTCTTTACCAGGACGAAAAACAATGGTGAAGTCAAAACCAAACTGCTTGGAGACCCACTTTTGTTGGTCTTCAGACAACAACCGATCAGTTAAGAAACGAAGACTTCGCTGATCAGTTCGTATGATGAAATGTCGACCCATTAAATAATGACGCCATTTAGTTACTGCAAAAACAATGGCCATAAGCTCCTTTTCATACACGGACTTAACCAAGGCTCTTTCACTGAACCCGCGGCTGAGGAAAGCAATTGGTCTGTCCTGTTGCATTAACACAGCACCCACGCCTCTCCCTGAAGCATCTGTTTCAACTATAAACTCTTGGGAGAAATCCGGCAATGCCAACACAGGTACTGTGGTCATAGCAATTTTCAACATATCAAAAGAGACTTGGGCTTCCTCATGCCACTGAAACCCATCCTTCTTAAGCAACGCAGTCAAAGGACGAGCTATCTTGCCGTAGTCCTTGACAAACTTGCGGTAATAACCAGTCAACCCTAAGAACCCTCGCAACCCTTTAACATTTCGTGGTACTGGCCAATCTAGCATAGCAGAAATCTTAGTGGGGTCCACCATCACCCCAGCCGTAGTAACAATGTGACCCAAGTACTCAATCTGGGACCGTCCAAATTCACACTTTTTACGGTTCAAGAATAAACTGTGATCCTTCATAACTTGAAGGATAGCTCGCAGATGATCAACATGAGCTTCAGGGTCTTTACTGTAAATAAGAATATAGTCAAAAAATACCAAAGCACATTTGCGTAAAAAAGGACGCAATACCTCATTCATGAGAGCCTGAAAAGTAGAAGGTCCATTGCTAACACCAAAAGGCATTACAAGATACTCGTAATGACCTTCATGTGTCCGAAATGCCATCTTAGGAATGTTCTCTTCACGCATTCGTATTTGATGATAACCCGATTTGAGGTCCAACTTGGAAAATATTTGAGCACCACCAATTTCATCCAATAACTCATCGATGGCTGGAATCGGAAACTTATTAGGGACAGTGATTTTATTTAAAGCCCTATAGTCAACACATACACGCCAACTTCCATCTTTCTTCTTGATAAGAATAACCGGACACGAGTAAAGGCTGGTACTCGGCTAGATGTGCCCCATAGCCAACAACTCTCCAACCAATTTCTCGATTTCATTCTTCTGATGATGTGGATACTTGTAAGGCCGAATATTGGGAATGGTATTACCTGGAATCAGGTCTATGGCATGGTCATGGGACCTAGGAGGGGGCAGTCCTGGAGGAACTGTGAACACAGTGTCAAATTCTGTCAACAAACTAGACACGGACTCGCCCAAAATCTTGCGTTGTTGCACACCCTCATCTCCTTCTTTATGAGCAGGCTGTAAAGCGATGACAAAGCCTTCATCCTCAGACTCAAACGTCTTCAGCATCGATTTTAAAGAAACGACCTCCTTGGACAAAGAAGGATCCCCTTGTACCAACACCTCCCTACCATCGTCATCAAACCGTAACGTGAGCTCCCTGAAGTTGGCCTTCACTTCTCCCAACGTCTTAAGCCAGTCCAACCCAAGAACAACATCCGCTCCTCCCAGTTCAAATAGAAAGAGGTCCAACCTAATCACCACCCCGTGCATGTGAATCGTGACATCTTTACACACACCTTGACATCGCACCTTATGGCCATCGCCCACTTCCACTACATATGGAAGTGTTGAACTCACAGATAGCCCTGCCACTCGAGCAACCTTAGGACTGATGAAGTTACTTGAGGCCCCACAATCAATCAAAATAACCACCTGGTGTTGCGCAATGCTACCCCACAACTTGAGAGCTTGATTCGACGTTAATCCCATAATACTGTGCAAGGAGAGATGGAGCTCCCGCTCGTCAACCTCCTCCGGATGATCTGAACACCGTAAACCACTTCCCTCATCTTCGTTGTCATCCTCCTCTATCATAAGGAGATGAAATTGCTTGTTGTTTTTGCACCTATGGTCCTTCACAAACTTCTCGTGACAGTAGAAACATTCTCCCTTCGCCATCTTATCCTGCCATTCCTCGTTGGACAGACGCCGTGAGTTTGTCTGCGCGGTGCTCGCAACGCTCTCCCCAACTCGATTAGGGCTCGAACTCTGATTTGGGGATAAAGTAGTCGGTCCGTGACTTGTTTTAACAGGAACGCGTGTAGCTTGCGTGCCACCACTATATTTACCCTCAGTGTGACGAAGAGGATAATTAGTTGGGTAATGGTTGTGGGCTTTTCCATTAATAGCTGTTTGGGCCCTCAGCCCACTCCAACTATTGTTTTTGCCTATAGCATAAACCTCATTACGTTCCTCCACGAATTGGGCCAGATCCATTAACTCAGCTAAAGCCAAATCGCGCCCACGGATGTGCAATTCCACCACTATCTCATCCTTCAGCCCATTTAACCATATGTCCCTGAGCATGTTGCCATCTGCATACCCTAACGGCCCAGCCACCCTCTCAAACTCTTCCCTGTACTCCTTCACGCTACCCTCTTGTTTCAGCCTCAACAATGGTGCAAATGTGCAATTAGCAGTGACCCCTTGAAATCGCCTCAACACATGTGACCTGAATTGCTCCCAATTTGCTCCCAGATTTTGACTCTCCCACCATTGAAACCAATGGAGAGCCTTACCCTCCAAAACAATCAGTACCGATGACAATTTCTCAGCCTCCGGAATGCCATTAATGGTGAAATAACGCTCAGCTCTATGGATCCATCCATAAGCATCATCCCCATCAAACAAGGGCAACTCCAGCCTTCGCACGGAGGTATCGTTGATTCCTGCATTTCCTAGAAGAGTTCCTACAGCCGCGCTGCTGGCACCGCCTCCTCCGCTCGGTCCACCCACTCCCGTCAGACCTCCAGTGTCCTTCGGTCCTCCATTCGGGTCCTGGGTTTCTCCATTGGACCCACCCAATCCCCCATTATCTCCGGTATGACCACGATCCAACATCAAGCCATTGATGATTCGTCGCAGATCTTCTTGAACCGATTCAGATTGACGAAACCGCATCTCGATTCCTTCCTCCAAACGCCTTGAACGTTCTTCGCTATTATTGAACCATAGCGACAACTTCTCTTCCAATGTCGATAAACGATTTTCCATTTTCCTCGTCAGAACCATAAAATGCTCCCAGAATTGGAAGCTTTGATACCAATTGTAATGTTAACAGCAACAATGGTCAATTAACATAACAACTGAGAATGAAATTAATGAGAACTCTGTAATGGTTTTCTGGTATTGAAGTAATAAAGGAAATAGAACTCTGTTACATTTAGAGCAATTCGAGAGTGCTCTATTCTCTCCTCTTTCTTACTCTCTAACTGACTGACTACTCTCTCCTCACCTTCCCCATTACATATAACAAATTACAATCCATTACACGCATCCTACACCACCCAAACCCGTAACAACCTGTAACTGATTATTCCATCACGCTCTCCTACCCCTCATCAGCTGCCAAGTCCTCCATACTGACTTCTTCCACGTCCTCACTATTGACTTCTTCCACGTCATCCTCAAGTGTCCTTTGGCTGACTTCTTCCACGTCATGCTCAAGTGTCCTTCGGCTGCGTCTTTGGTATACCTGAATAGGCTTTGTTACATTATCCAATACTGATGTAGTTCCTTTCTTAAGCTTCTACAAATATTCAGGAAAGTGCAAAATCTAGCAGAAGCCTAGATTTGTTTAGGCTGTAGTGCTTTTATGAACGAACCTCCCTCTTTTTCTGTGGAGCATCCTTTTTTACATTGTGTAGCTCTTGTGATTAGCGCAAGAGGCGCAAAAGTATTTTCTGCTCTTTGAAAGAGGAAATATTCATGTGTTCACATGATGCACCATTGGTTGTGAACTGTGAGCAGTAGGAACAGGGAGTTAGTTTGGCAAATATTGCATGTTGGGACCCAAAATTAGAAATATCAAGCCAACTGTGTTAGTTCCCCATTGGTCTGGTACACATGCTGGTGGTGCATTCTTAATGTCCTGTTTCTCTTATATTTTAGTCTTCCTCTTTTGGCATTTTTGTTATCTCTTATCTCTCTTAATCTTATTGTTAATCATTATTAAAACAATGATTGTACAGTTGGCTTATTTGTTATTTTTCTCTCTCGTTTTACAGTTTTCTACAGGTTATTTTCTGACAGACCTGGCAATGATTCTTTGGCATTTTCCAGCTTTAGGGGGTGTGGAATATGTAAGCTGAAAAGACATTATGTTTTCTTGCTATTTTTAATATATTGCACGATATCAGAGATTCTGTTATTTTGCACATCTTTTTACTTTCATGAAGCATTGAACTCAATACAAGTTATATGATTTGGAAGTGGTAAACCAACTTAATTTTGCATTTAGGTTCTACACCATGGGCTGTCAATGTTTTCAATTATCCAATCTTTGCTAAGTGGTCAAGGACAGATCTACATACTAATGGTTCTTTTCTCTGAGAGCACAACTCCTTTTGTAAATCTAAGATGGTAAATCTGTTGTTCAGAAATCCATTTGCTTTCGTGTACTTTTGTCAACATTGACTTATTACTTTAATTACATATGCAGGCACTTGGATACTGCTGGTCTTAAGAGCTCTAAACTTTACATTTGGAATGGCGTTGCATTGTTCTTTGGGTGGTTGGTACTGTCTAATATACTCTGATCTCAATTCTAATTCCGTTATAGTATCTGAAGGAGTTACTTGTGGTCATGTATGATTTTTTTTTTGGAGCTTTCTGCTACTAGTTTACTCTTTTGGTTCTAGGTAAGCCATGTTTAGGCAAATGAGCTAGTAGCAATGGTGACAAAGATAATTAAGAGGGATGATAAAAAAGGAATACTGCATATTGCCTGCATGAGTATGAAGCCTTATGGAGACGTTTTTCCTCATTTATATATTTTTTATTAATGTAAAATATGTTCACAAATAATTTGGGTGACTCACTTGAAACAAATTAGATTGGGGGCTTTAGAAGGCTTCTAAAATAACAAACACCCTTAAATCAGGTAGGTCAATCTTGCTGATAAACTGATAATGATAATGATATAGGTATGCCTATCTCATCCAACTAAGAAACATAGTGTTAATATAAAACCATTTAGGTGCCTTCAACTAACATTTGAAGCATTTGGGGTAGTTGATTCTTGACGTATTATCAAAGTTTCTATGACCAAATGGTTTAGAGTTTGATCCTTGCCACTTTCATTTTTCTAAATAAAAGTTGAATTTCAGCATACAGTGGGTGAGTGAGTTTATGAATTTTCCATGATTCAAGCCCAAAGGATTATTACCTAAGTTGACAGTTTAAAGATATAATAATAATACTATTCATTTACCTTCGCGTAATAGCTAAAGCTTCTGGAATACTTGGTTCTTGGCACATAGGATGTTCTAAATGCTGAATCCATTTGTTTTTAAACAACATATAGAGAAATTGAGTCTTTAGCAGTAGGAAAAGGTTTCAAAATTTGTCATGACCTTTGCCATTTCTTATTTCCAATGATTGTAATGAAAATATGGAACTAGTTTTCTTGGTTGTTCTAGTACAGATCTTAATATGCTTTATCCCTTTATGTTTTTTGTGATGCAGGTTGCAAGGATTTTCCTGTTCATGTTCTTTTTTATCCACATGTGGACCCATTTTGATGAGGCAAGCATTTTCTCTGTGATGCCCTATCACATATTACTTCACATTTCCTCCTCTGATTGTCATCTAGTGCATAAATCCAAACTTTTCCCCTCCTATTTCAGGTCAAGGAGATCTTCCCATTGGGTTTTTACACCTTGCTTGTGGTGCCTCCTGTGTTGGCAATGATGAATATATTTTGGTTCTGGAAGATTGCCAAGGGTATGGTTAAAACTCTTTCAAAAGCAAAACATAGCAAGTGAGGGGCATACCACATATCTTGCTGCTCTACTTCATGTCCATGTCCATAATATCTTGATGCATGAGATGGCCATTGAATTGATATAGTATAGTTGCAATCAACATTTTTTTAACTTGTAATATTCAGTATAGTTGTATGTTTGGTATTACTCAATTGAATATATTTTTCAACACAACAAATCAGCAATCCAGTTCTCCTTATTTATTTTTGAAATTAGTTGTCATGGAATAAATAATTTTATTTTATTTCTACAATAAAGTTAATTTCATTTAAAAATTAGGTTAGCGGTACTTATAATTGTAATAAAGCAATACAAGTTTTACCAAAAACTAATAATGTGTAACTTTGTTTACGGGATATTATAATATTATTACCAAATAATGTTACTATCAATGTTATTATCATATCTTAACTATTGATTTTTGCCAATTAACAGTTATCATTTATTGCAAATTAATAATTAATTAATGAGTTTGATTTCTGGAAATAATAATCAGTGATTGACAAAAATCAACGGTTAAGATATAATAGTCATATTGATAATAACATTATTTGGTAGTAATAATATCATATATGATCCAAAAATTTATCACTTACAATGCAGATTTCATTATAAAGATTGATATAAAGCGTACAGCTGTATTTATAGAGTATCACATTCTTTATCTTAAAAGATCTGAAGATTTTACTAATTAGGAAGACTAAAGCTAAAAAGTTCAAATCTACACATAAAGTACATACAAAACACTCATAATCGAATTTCATATTATAAAAAAAATATTAGATTTAAAAGATAAAGATAATTTATTAAAAAGAACTATTGTTAACACAAACAAATAATAAAGAAACAAAGAGAGTTGTAGCTAAAAAAATAAAGATGAAAGCTCATCGTTAAAAAAAAAAACTGATTGTTCTTATTGTAGTATTCCCCTAACATGTCAGCTGATGTGTTAGGTTCTTATTGGTGTATTGTACATCACTGATTTTTTCCCTATCACCACCGTCCACGTATAATAAGACGGTGAATAAAATGTATATTCAATTTGCTTGTAATGAAATTCAAAAAATTTTAACAAAAAATAAATAAAATTCAAAATTGGATGATCAATGAACCTTTCAACGCGGAATCCAACTTTGTATATCACAAGACACATGCACTGAATTTGAGCAATAACTTTTTGTGACACAAACTCCCACTATTAGATTCCAACATCTCTATTATGTACCTAAAAATAAATAAATCCAACATCTCTATTATAGAAATGTTATCACTTAATTTGCTTTCCGACCAAAATGGAATTTTTTTCTATTTTCTTTTTAAGCAAAACTGCAACTGTTTCCGCGGCCTTCAGTCTAAAAATTAAAACGCGTATAAAAGCAGGTCCATGTTCATCATTGACATTGATGTTGTAAATTTTTTAATTTATACATAATAAATTAAATAAAAAAGACTTACATATTTTTTAATAAAATTTTACGTAAACAATTTGTACTGCAATTAAATGTTTTGGTCTTTAATATTATATCACTATCATGAAAAATGGGTCTTATTTATCTATAATCGAATTAAATATGCTCATTTAATGGGAACCAACCCCACAAAAGATATAAAATTTTGAACTGTTAGTGAAAAAATAGCTAGATTCAATCAAATTGAGTACTCAAACTGAAGTGTAAACAGAATAGCTTGAGATATATTAAAAAAAAGATAGAAAGAAATTTAATTTTGAAGTAAGTAATTGTAAGAAATAATACCTTTAATACATAAGTCTTTGGCATCGTACACATGCATAATAATTTAATAACGGGGAAGGATACAACCAATCTAATCGTTTACAACTTTTATAATTAATCTAATCATCGTTGATTTTCGTCAATCTAATGGTTATAATTTATTGAAAATTATTGGGTCGTATTTATTAATTAATTATCAATTCTTAATAAATTCAATAAATTATAACAGTTAGATTGACCGAAAATCAACGGTAATTAAGTTGGTTGTTTGTAAAAAAAATTTGTGGAAAATATATTGTGTCCCTTTAATAAATACATTAATAAAAGAGTTAAAGGCTTTTCATGTTATATGAAGAATTTCTTTTCCTACATATAAAATAAATATGTGAGTCCACTGTATTTTTTTTTCTCTTTTTTTTTGAAAAAAATATTTGTTCTTTTAAAAGACACAACTTATGTCATTTTACTTTTACAAAGAGGTGAGACCCACACTTTTATTTTTTTATTCACTTTCTTTCCTTTTTTATCTATCTTTTTCTCTCATTTAAGATGACACGGTGCGATAAAATGCACGTAACTACCACGTTCTGGTAAAGTTGCATTGCTAACAACTTTCTTTTATGTAAAGGTCCGAAATAGTAGAATATGTGGCCTTGCACGATTTTCCGCATTTTTTTTTTCTCTCTCTCTTCATTTTTAGTTCATAATTAATAATTTGTAATAATATGCACACAAAGATTCTCCCTTTATTTTATTATTTTTCTTTTTGTTTCCTATATTTATTCACACAATATTTTCCTTTTATGGGAAGTTGCTTTTATTTTATTAGAAGAATGGAAGTTGCTACCTTAGAAGATTAGGTTTTGAATGTTTCAGACGAGAAAGGAGAAGATGGGTTTGATAGCTTTACTGGGCAGTGTTAATTTCTGGTGAAAGTGAGCTTTTTTACACAAAGTTTCAATTTTTTTTTTAATGAAAAATGTGGGGTAGGTGGCGGTGTGTTGGTGGCGGTTTTGGGTCGTTGAGGCAAACGGTATCTGCAATTGTTAATGTGAGGGATGGTTATGCTGAAAAGGTTCAACCTTTTGTTCCTCCTTTGTTGGGTGTTGTTGCAGTGATGTGTGGTGAAAGAGGAGTGTTGAACTACATCAAGAGGGGTATATCATCTTCCACTGTGCTTTCATCCAATTCATCTGGGGATAGTAAGGGAAGAGAAGAGTCCATATCATTATGTGAAGCCAAGAAGCTTATGAGATTGGTGAATGTGGAATCACTTAAGATGAAGCTTGGTATGGAAGGGAAGGAAGTTATTCTCTACACTGAGCTTCTTGAAGCTTGTGAGAGCATGGGTGTTGCTAGGAATCAAGAGGAGGCTGCAGCATTCGCCAGGGTTCTTGATGAGGCTGGGGTTGTTCTCCTATTCAGGGACAAGGTGTATCTGCATCCTGATAAGGTTAGCTTTAACTATTTGAATGGCCCTCTTTGGTCTTTTCCTTGTTACTTTATTCTCCCTTTTGAATTGTTTATGTTTATGCTTGGCATAGTAGTAAACTTAGAGGGTTACACATAGGGTGTTTATCAACCGATCCAAACCGCAATAACCGAACCGAAAAATCGCGAATAAACCGAAAACTGAAAAATCGAAAATCGAAAAAAAATCGCAAATTTTAATTGGATTGGATTGGTTTTAGGATTGGTCAATGAAAACCAATCCAATCCAAACCAATCCAATATATTAATTTTCCTCTACCTACTTTGGGTTTTTCCCCTATCATAGCCCAAAAATTTCTAAACCAAAGACTCATTAACCCATCAACTAAACCCAAGAAAAAGCCTAGTCACATCTCATTAACAAAATTTAATTTGTGTAGAGCTTCATATCTCATTGCCAAAAAAGAAAAAACTACATTATCGTTTAATGATGCTTTTATATTTAAAAAAAATAAATTACAAAGTCAATATATACAAAAGATGTTATTTGCATAATAATCATGAAATAAATTTTAGGATTTTCAAAAAACCGAAAACCGATCCAATCCAATCCGAAAAAAATTGGATTGGATCGGATCGGATTTGAAAAAAAATTCAAACCGAATGGATGATTACATGATCAAACCGAAGAGATTGGATCGGATGATTTTTGCTTCCAAAATCGATCCAATCCAGACCACGAACACCCCTACTTACACGTCACTTTTTGAATTGGGAAATATTATATTGTTGGATTATATATGGATTTGTGCAGGAAAAAAGTTTGGATGTGACCCCAAGGAAAATCAAAGTGTGCAGAAAGATACTTGAGTTTTTTTTTTTATGTAGAATGTTGTTTTTATAGCATCACCCTTTATAATAATTATCTGTTTTAATGTGGGAAAGTTAGTAAATTCTCTGATTCTGTGTCTATTGTCTGGGGTTTAGGTTGTGGATTTGGTTCAAAGAGCTGTTCCCCTGGCTTTGACTTCCGAGAATGATCCAATGAGGGAGGAGTTGAAGAAACTGCAGAAGAAAAAAGAGGAAATTGATGTGTTGGCACATAAACAGATGAGGCGCATCCTCTGGTGTGGACTAGGATTTGGTGTAATTACTGTTGGGTTGTTCTTCAGGCTAACATTCTGGGAATTTTCATGGGATGTGATGGAACCTATTGCATTTTTTACTACAACCAGTGGCTTAGTCATAGGCTATGCCTACTTTTTATTGACTTCAAGGGACCCAACTTACCAAGACTTCATGAAGAGGCTCTTTCTTTCAAGGCAGAGGAAGCTTTTTAAGAGGCAGAATTTTGACCTTGAGAGATTCAAGGAACTCCAGTGCAAGTGCAAAACACCTTTAGGTGCTAGTGCTGTTTTCAAGAATCGCTTTGGGGTGGAACTAGATCTTGAAGATGCTTTACATAGAGATTAACTTGATATTGATGTTGATATTATATTACAGTTAACCTTGTTCCCCAGGTTTTAATGTTGGTGGGGAAAAACTTAAACTGACTATAATTTTGGCTTCTAGTTTTGTAACACACATTTCCTTCATTTTCTTGACCACCATGCATAAAGATTATGTTCTCTTCCATTTGTTGATTGCACGTTGTTATTCTATCAATCGTGCTTAAAGGTCATTGGTCTCATTCTAGTCCAGCAAGTTTTGAATACGACTTTTTTTGTTATACTTTGTCTACATTTTAGAAGAGTGAATTTGATAATGCTTGGCAAGTTATTGCCAATGTCATGGTCAATAGATTAGAATATACGAAAGGTTTAAGAGAGGCTAGTTAGAATTTCAGTGATCTTTCAAATCGTTGCTGGTGTGCTTTCTTTCCACCTTATCAGAGCATATATTTCCACACTCCTGTTGTAATCGTTGGTATAAACTATAAAGTATTTCAACTGGTCCGAATAAAAAACTCACTAATTGAAAAGACACGAGACAAAAAAACTAACTATTTGCACTATTCAATCATTTAGAAAAAGTTACAATAGGAGTAAAAGTTTTATGCAATGACTCGAATGCAAGGTTCATAATTATCAACATAATTATTGACCTGGTATAAATATAGGATTTGATTCTTCTTCTTTTAAAAGATATAGAATTCTATCATTTTAAGTGAAAAAAGATACAAATAATAGAGATCATAGGGAAAGAAAATGAGTAATTTTTTAATTTAAATTTTAAATAATATATATTAATTTATATTTTCTCTCACTTAAAATAACACAATTCTATATCTGAACAAATATTTTTTCTGTAAATATAATATGAGAAATTCGTGTTTGGAATTATTCTTTATTGTGTCGTGTCAATCATAATAAACAGCGCTCATGAGTCATTAATGTTATATTGTGCCAACACATAAGTTACACACTATTCGAATTTTATGTCTCCTCACAAAATAAACAGATCATATTCATATAAAATTTTCACCTGTTTCCAAATTCATACCGTGTTCGTGTATCCATATTCATATCATATCTTGACCCGACTCAGACACGACCTCCTCAAACGAATTGCCACCTCTACTTGAATGGACCACGTGAGGAGTTAATATAAGTTTGTCTAAGCATCGTTGTTCAAAGTATCAAAACGGTGTTATATACAGTGCCTTTTTACCCCTTAATAACCGGTTTTCCTTCTAGATTCTGATCATGCAATAACTTGCTCATTCACCCATGGCGGCTAACATTTAAGAAACATGCAATACACCAATGAAACGAAATATTGTCTACAAGCGTAAGCCATAAAAATCCTGATGCAGCAACTTTTTTACATAACCCTATACTTGTTATCTTTCTTATATATCGAAAAGTCACTCTCAAGGCAATTTAGCAGTTCAACCACATAATCTTCATTGGATCCATTGAAGTGCTCCAAAATATCAATCAAAGTAGCCTGAAACCAATAAAAACCAGATTTTCTTATAATTATAACCACAAAGCACAGCATATATACCAATATCATAAAGCTTTCTATCAGAAACATAAAAATGTCTTCACTAACCCCTTCATCAACGCCATTCAGCCACTCTACAACAGAACTCTCTGTAGCCTTCAGTGCAATTGAATTTACTTCCTCTGTTTCACTGACTTTTTGTCGTTTGCTTGTGAATTCCTTCTCACAGGCTAATGGAAGCTTCTGTACCTGGAGACCATTGACAGGTCCAGAAGGTACTTCATCAATTTCTAAGTCACATTTTTCCGTCAAATTTTTGGCAGGAATGTCAGCTTCACAATGCCGTTGTTCTGCTTGGCATTTTTCCAAAGGATGCTCTGACAAAGCTGATGCATTATTTACAGGTTCACTATCTTTGCCAGTCTGGTAAACTCCAGATTGAATGCCTTCTATGGATGTTCCACAGTTTCGCATGACCAAATAAGCCTTGATGTGCGGATAACTTATCTGTACCATGAAAATTTATTCAATCTCTAGCTCATCAAAGTGATAAGCATTTCAGCAGGCAGAAGCTACAGAACACATGATACTTTCATTTTTTCTTTTTTGGTTAACTACTGAAGCACCATTTGTACCATGAAAAATTACCTTCGGATGTTGTCATGGTTTTGGGACACACATTTCAGTGGTTAATGAGTATATAAGTAATAAGAACTTCACAAAAGGTAAAAAAAAAAAAAAATACAAAATACAAAATACCATCTTAATAGTTAAAATTTCTGAAATCTGGCAATACGACTCTAGCCATTAATTACATTTTTTTTCTAAAGTTTCTCAGCTGTTGCTAACTTTGACTAATGACCAATATCCACTCTGATTGTTCAATAGATAGTATACAAGAGACGATGATTTCGCAAACAAAAGGTCCAGATATGGACAAGTCAGCATCATTTTCAAGAAAATAAAAACACGTAATGAATCTGAAATCAGATAGTTGTCGCCAAGGAGGATAGAGCTGTAGATTAAAATAGATTGGACCTTTTAGTTGCATCAATTATCAAGATGGACTCAAATCATAAAGGCCAGAGATTTGAACTCACATGTTCTGGCAATTCATTTTTTATAGGCTTCAACTTATCTGTAGATCCAACCTTTGAAATAGCACCCTGAATTTCTGATATGATCTCTTGTGTCAGTCCTATCATCTCAAAGAATCTAGTCCAATCAAAAGGTAATCCTTCTTGGGCAGCTTCCAGCAGATATTCAGCAACAGTTTGTTCTTTTATAGGGGCTGATCTACCTGGATAGTTCTGAGATTACAAAGAGGGTAAGGGAAAGGAAGAAGTTATACAGTGAAACATGTGAAGCATAGACCTTTAAAAGTAACAACAAACTAGTAAGACATACAGCAATCATCTGAATAGAAAGACCATCTTCATGCCACATTTTCCATGCTTCAAACTTTGCTGATGACAACTTCCTTGATTTGTTGGTTACTGGAGATACTTTCCTTACTTCATTAGTTTGCAAACTTGCTTCCCCATCCAATGATAGGTTTAATCCTTGTGACAGTTTCCGTATAACTTCAAGAAAACGATCTCCATATTTTGTTACTAGGTGCTGTACAAAATTGTTCAGAGTTAGTATTTCAAATGACGGAAAAGAACAGAATTATTTTTTCTGGCTTCAGTAATCTGAAGACATGTTAACAGGTCAAATATTTGACAGTGCAGCATGCTCCGAGATGTGATTAGTGTTCAATGGAATGTAAACTATTGTCAAGAGATTTCTTATTCAGAGGTTTAACTCATGTTTGTACTGCACTTTACTATAACTCCTTCCCCTTTTGAAATCTAGAGAGCCACTTCGTAATATTGCAAGGAACCTTTCCAATTTGAAAATTTCTCCATGTACCTTAAACTGTAATTGCTGCTAAGAATATAGTATTTACCAACCATCTATAGGATTTTGATGCAGGGACAAGAACCTTCATGGGAGAAAATCAAAATTTGTATCTGATAACTAGCAATGGTTTTAGACATTCATGGAACTCTGACATTAATACTTATGATTGACTATCACCAGTTACCGTTCATCTGATCTATGAAATGAATTAGAAAAAAAGGGCAAACCCTGGTGCACAATTTGCGAGGGTATGGGTAAGGTTGACTGAACGTGGTTTATCCTCATACTTTTGCAAAGAGACTAATTCCACGATTTGAATTAAGGACCTTTCAGTCACAATGAGTAATCTTACCGTAGCTCCAAGACTCGCTTTCTTTATGAAATGAATTAGAAAACAAATTATAATTGGTGGTTCAGAAAAGATGTCATAATTATCATATTAGTTTAGAAATAAAATCCAGAACCAATTAATTTACCAAATAAGGTCTTTTCTTAAAATAGATCAGACTTGTATATATATTTTGAAAAAAATAAGAGATGGTAAAATGCATCAGGAGACAGAAGTCTATCAAATTATAGATTTAGTTGATTCAAAATTAGAAAACAAAAAGTTAAGAAATATATTAGGAATGAAAGTAGTGTAAACCAAGAACTTTCAGCCAAAAAAAAAATCAAGAAAGAATTCAAATAACAAAATACACCAAATTAGGAAATTAATAATTAATTTATAAGTTTACTAAAGCCATTTTATTTTGAAGAGTTTCCTATTTTGAAAGTTAAAATCTGCCACCATTAACCGGTTCCTGCTTATTCTTCATGAACCAGTAACGCTGGTCCAGTTTTCAGAAATCTTCAGAACACTGAAGACCTACCTGATTCACGCCATCAATGTTTGCTAGCCTTGCTTTTGTAGATGGTCTTGTTAAAGCAATTTTCCTGATCGTTTGATCACCACATAGAGCATATCTACGAAGAATGTATAACAGCTTTATGAAGAAACTACGGATCAAAGAAACTATAAGTAAGAATTGGTAGCCTTGGCAGTGTTAAAAAATAAAATAAAAACTTACGGAGCTGTTCCAACACTTCTAGCAAGCTTTAACCTTTCTTCTAAAAGCATATGGTAGAGCTGTCCCTCGGCCTGATTACAGAAGGACAACACAGATTTAAAGTTGACAGATGCCAAATGTATTTGGCAAACAAAGACATATGGCTAATATTTCTTATAAGCAAAACAAATTGAAAACAAGACTGTTGTCTACATTACATCTACGTACAATTGTCAACCACTTTTCCGAGAACCTTCATTGAAGATAAAAGGAACAAAAGACAGAAAAGGAGTTGAATAAACATAAAACCACTTAAATGCCAACCTCTGAAAAACCATCTGATTCTGAAGTTCCTAAAATTTTGAATTCTTCTTGTGGGCTTCGATTTTCTTCTTCTCCAAGCATTTCAGCAGTCAATGACAAAACTAAGGGAGGTTGATAATCCGGTCTAGAAGAGGCCAAAAACTGCTCTCCTTTTGAACTGACACTGATTCATCAGACAGCAATTTATGGCTGATTATAGGTTTGGTTATGAAACATACTAAAATACTGAGAAACTGAAGCTGCATAATAGATGGATTTCGACATTAAAAAAACATAATAAAGTACAGAGACCTCAAATAACTATGGCGGTCTACCCAAAAACTTGAATAATCTACCTTATAGTTCTGTACACGTCACTAATAGTCTCCTTCAAATAACCTGTAGAACATTAGGAGTCAATTCTACATTAAATTTAGCTATTTCTAGTAATTGAATCTATTGAATTAAATAAAAAGATTGTATCATTTTTTGTGTAAATTGTGAAGTATGCCATTTGTAAAATCTACCACAGCAAGAAATAGACTTAAGTTACCAAGTAAAGAACAAGAAATGCATGAATAATTGGTTCCATTTGAAAACAAAAGAAAATACTATATATTTTCTTTTCAAACCTTTTTTTTTCTTAGTATAGATCTGTTGAGATATATAGTCCCACATTGGTTAGATGTGCAACTAATGTGGAGTTTATAAGGCCTTGGACACTCCCACCCTTTGAGCTAGTTTTTGGGGTGGTGTATCCCAAGGTTCTTTACATGGTATCAGAGCCTCGCCGTCCCCCACTTTCTCTTGTGGTGTTTCTTAGCACAGGTAGGCTGGGCCTGTTGCATTGTCCACGCTTCAAGCCCAATGGGCTCTTGCGTGAGGGGGCGTGTTGAGATATATAGTCCCACATTGGTTAGATGTGCAACTAATGTGGAGTTTATAAGGCCTTGGACACTCCCACCCTTTGAGCTAGTTTTTGGGGTGGTGTATCCCAAGGTTCTTTACAAGATCATATTTTGATACTGCTACTACGTCAAAACTCTGCTGGACAGAAGTAAGAAGGAACCTATTCCCTCAATGGTTGAATAAAAATGAAAGGAGGAAAAATGAAAATAAAGGGGTCTTATAAAGTAACCAACTGTCCAAAAACACCTTGAGAAATCAATTGATGTCCAAGGGCTTTCCACCAATTTGCTGGGTAAGTTTTCCCAAGTCCATGAAGTGGAAGCTTGTCAAACTGAGCATCGAGAATTTTCTTGGCCTACAAGACCCAAGCAAATACAACTATCAGCAGTTGGAAAGTCATGATGAAATTTAAAGGCAACAATCAAGGATGAATAAAAACCTAAATGATACTTATACACAAAGTAAGTAGAAGGCATTCTTAAAGCCGTGTAGTAAACTGAAGCAGCAGCAAAAAGAAGGGGCCAAATTGCTACGTACAAAGTCCTTTTGTCTGGGTACTCAAGGACTCATTTACCATGTCACATCTGAATCAATAAGCATTATAGCTTCAATGATTGTCACTTAAGAATAACAGGAAATTTAGGATTTAGAGATTTTTGCATGCAATGCCATGTGATTTTAAGCAAAGAGTGCCTCTTGATGCAGTAGAATAACTGTATTCATTATATTTTAAGACTTTCAGGATTATTGTCTAAATTAAGTCAAGTATCTTCATCTACTAAGTGAAACCAAACTTCCATCAGTAAATGGAAGACACATACATTACCATGGTGCTTTCTCTTTCCTTTCTTAATTCTTTGTGCAAAGTTCATGGTTGTCAACCATTGTGTCAGAACCATCACCTGAATATTCTTTTCAATTCTGCATTGTGCAGACTTAGGTAATCTCCCATCCTTAGATCTATTACTCATGTAAAACTACCAGATTTTCTCCCACTGATCAGTTCTTGATTAGGGCATCAAAATGAAGTCTGCAGCTTCATTATTAAAATACTAAACCCATCTTTGACCTCTTTTAGAAGTTCAATCCTTTTTCTTTTTGTAAAACTTCATGGAGAACTAGATGAAAATGGATTGACATAAGCATACTCCAGGAGGACTAAATAAAATGAACGACAACTACCAAGTAAGGCTGAAGAAGGTAAACAACCCACAGGTAAAAACCAACCTAAAGAAAAAGTGACAATAAGAAATTAAGAATCTGCTTATTGTATACCATAAGTGACAATAACCACAGAAGATTTTATTAGTGAATACAAGAACAAGGATAATCACAATAATAGATAAAACGGAGAGTGCATGATGAAAAGAACACGAAATTACTGCCACCAATCAAGAACTCAAAAAGTGAAGAATTTACTTTTAGATTATACTAAAACATTCCTAGTATTAATTTTGAACAGCTTACTCGAGACCCACGCAGGATGTCAACGGGCATATTAAGGCCCCATTTGCCATTGCATGAATGAATGCAAGCCATTAGCAGGAATGCTTCTCTCGACATGTCGCGCTCCTTCTTTGAGACTGTGCAGTTATCACAGTTCCCTACAAACAAGATAAGAAATAAACTAAAAATTAGACTAACCTAAAGAAAAGTGTTTTTTCAGGCACGAATACCATTGGTTTTGTCAACTGCAATGGCCAGATAGCTGCCATATTTACTAGGTCTCTTATAGAGGGCCTCAAGTTGACCTTATAGTATCAAGCTTGGTGCATATGACATATGCTCTAGCTTGAGAGGGGTGTCAGAATCAAACAGTCAATGAAATAACACCAGGTTATTAATTATGCTTAAACTCTTACTTTAAAACTGTACAATTGTAGTAAAGAATCTAAGTGAAAGGCAAACCACATCTATCAGCTGAAAATTTTTCCCCAAAGTATTCAAGCAAGAACTTTCTTCTGCAAGTTCCCACCACACAATAGCGTTCAGCAGCCAGCAACGACTCCATAACAGCTCTTCTTTGGTTTTCCTGGTACATTGGAGGCCCACATATATTAGTAAGAGAATAGAGATAACTTGTCCGGGGGAAATATGCAAGAAGTCATCAACTTCAATGTCCACTAAACCACAAAAATTATCAGCCAAACTTTTTCTGATAAATACAAATACACATACTGTTTTTATATCTGCACAATAAAATTCACCCTTTGCAAAGTCACTTCTTGTGTAGTAAAGCCAACATACAGAAGCTATACCATCTCTACCACATCGCCCACTTTCCTGGTAGTAGGACTCTAGACTCTTGGGGCAACCATAGTGAATCACTTGTCTTACGTTAGGTTTATCTATGCCCATGCCAAAAGCAATTGTGGCCACCATGATTTGCAGTTCATCTCTAACAAATAATCTGAAGAAATTATCATACATTCAGTTAGGCTTAAAAAGCATTGAAGCATCTTCAACAGTAAAGAGAGAAAGATAAGTGGAAGGAGCATGATCCACACACTCAATGACAAGATGCAAAAATTCATTTCATATTCTAAAAATATAAGATAGATAGTGACCTATGAGACTCCTCTCGAGCTTTTCCATTCATTTGGCCATGGTACATTCCAGCCTCGATACCTGCTTCCTTAAGTGACTTTGATATCTATGTAAAATAAGATCAAGCAAAATTTAAAACAAAAGAAAAGCTGCAGTCAAACCATTCTGACAGAGCTTAGAAAATGAAAAATCCAAACACAAGTTCCAGTGGGCAGACAGAACAGAGACACATAACCAGTTTTAGATAAAACATGATGGCAAGAAACCCATAAAATATTGACAGAAGATCTATTGAACAAAAAATGGTATGTGACTATATGAATATATTGTGAAAGGCCAGGAACAAATAATACTCAGTGGATGTTTCAATTCAACAATTGCTTTTTTCTTTTTGCATATCCAACGAGGTATTTTTAATCGTAGAAGGAATTTTGAGATTTTTCTTTTTTCTTTTACACAATGGGTTGAACGTTCACATTTGTCTTGAATGATTAATAAATATTCCTTAGAATACCATGCAGCAGTGCTTTAAATTATTGTGCCTCAAAACTAAATTTTCTACACGAGTCCTCAAGCAATATGTCCTTTCAGTAAAGTTTATTAAATACGCAATGAGTCTCACTGACAGTTTTCCATGATCCTTTTATTGGAAGTGGAATACTATTATTTTCAATACGAGATGACAGACAATTAACTGATTGTACAGTTCAAGTGAACAGTAGGGATATGACAGTATGGTAACACTATTTTGGGATTCATGTGTAACATTTCTAGCACATTACCTGCTCTACATCTTTGATTGTTGTGCAGTAAATAATAGTTGAACCACCACTAGCAACTTCTTTTGAAATTTCTCGTACAAGCTCAGCAATAAAAAATTGTCCACGGTTAAATAGCTTGACACCATAGAAAAGATTTGTGCGATCAAATGAACCAACCAAAACATAAGGATTATTCATCTTCAAGGAATTGATGATGTCAAATCGAACCCTGGCAGTATACCATATAAATGAACATGACTGTAATGTTTCTCTCATTTCAATAAAGAAATTTAAATTGTATTATTAATTAAAAAAACCATGAAGTACAACAGTGTAACTAGAAGAAGCATCACATAAATTCATTGAATAAATTTTAAAAAGTAGAAAATCAACAATCCTAATCCATTCTTATAGCAATGCTCAAAGTAGTGTTCAACACAAGTAACAAAAATCCTTTTCTACTAATGAAAAGATGTTGTAAAGGAGAAAGCAACAACCAGAAGTACACTGTAAGGGATGTACTAGCAGAATTGTTGTACCAGTAAAGATTTTCAAATCAAATAAAAATATCTTAGAACAAGACCTTGAGCTGACCACCTGTATCCTCTAAAAAGAGTTTATCAAAAACAAGTTAGGATTCTGCAAAGGAGGTTCAATAACTCCTGAGCCTTGTAATTTATTTCAGATGCAAAAAACATCATTTTAAAAACATTAGTAGCTTAATAGGCTTCTAATAGAACTATACCAGAATTTAGAATAAAACGCAATGTTTATTAACAGAAGTCCTCTATCTCTGGATCTAAATCAATGGGATACCATATCAGAGAGAGAATTACAAATCAGTGTTGGATAATAGAAGCACTACTCTCCTATTCCTGGATATTTGAGAGTCCTGGCTCTCCTTCACTTAATCAGTATCTTCCCCTAACTAAGTCCCCCTATCCCCTTTTATTCCTAATTCCACAAGTGTGTCTTAAATGTCTGCTAGACAGTTATTTACTGTTAGTAACATACTTAGGTTTCAATCCCCTACTCTCCCACCTATCCTCAATAACATGACCTTTATAATTGGAGGCATACCAACAGCTTCAAAATTTGTCCATCACTCATGATCCCCTTCATACATGAGGCTTACAATTGAAGACATTACTCCAAATAGAATATTCACAAAATGTGGGAGGAGGAGTAGCTTTGTTTGCTGATAAAGGAATAACTTATGGACAATGAAAACTTCCCAAGCAAGAAGATGCATTAAAAAATGGGAGCTGCGTTCATGATTATTGGATGACAAATTAAAATTATAATATCTAAATTATAATATCTTGAGTTTCTGGTTACTCTTCACAGGCTGAACTACCTTGATTTTTCTCCAGCCTTTACCCTTCTCACTATAATTTCTGGAAAAAGAAAGGGATGCAGAGAGAAAAAGGGAGAGACGGACAGGAAGATAGCAGGCGGAAAGAGACAAAAGCTTGAATCCAGTTCAACTAGCAGAGCATGGACAAAACTTCATTTAAAAGTAAAAAACCATGATTACAACACCGACATGCAAGTAAAATTAAATTCGTCAATAAGCAACATAGGAAAACAAAATTTATACAAAATGTGCATCAGAATTATTATAAAGTACGGCAATGATATGCTTCACTAACAGCCAAAGCAAATGATGCTTACTTTTCAGTAGCAGTCGCAGTTAGACCAACAAAAGGAACATCTAACAGAACACTACGTAACTTGTCTAGCTGCTTGTATTCCACCCTAAAATCATGCCCCCATTCTGATATGCAATGTGCTTCATCAACAGCTAAAAGACTAATTCCTGCCCTTAGCAAGTTGGACCAGAAACTGCATACATAAGATGAAATTTTACAGCAGAACATCATTAGACAAGGCATAGTAAGGATAAATATTAATGATCTAATCCTGAAAAGCTACACCCAACTACCAATCGGTGGTTAATCATGAACATACTTGAACAATTTCAGCTCCAACAACTAATAAACTCCAAGCACTATAGTCCTTATACCTCCACGGAATAAAGACATTTCTTGATAAATAAGGAAAAAAAACTTTACTTTTATTAGTATTTTGCATTAACTTTTACCATTTTATAGAACAGAACACAAGTTACCTTGGCCACCAAAAGTAAGAAAACAGCTTTTCGAGATTTTTGCACAAAACATTTTCATCCATGAATCATCATGCAAAACTATCCTATTTTCTACAAAGTCATGTGGCTAAAATATTTATTCCGGGGAGGGGGGTATGAAAGGGGAAATATGCTTGAAGCTCATCTCCCCATATAAATATATATCCAAATATTAAAAAGATAATTAAATAATAATGTGAAATAGTTGATATAAGCTCAAGAGTCATTCCATGACACTTCAATTCAATGTATTAATAAGCTATATGATTAATAGCCATGCACTCAAAATAAGGTCATGAACTACACAGCAGAAGATTATGAATAGGTTTATTCCAATACCTGATAGGAATTGTGCATGCCTTCTCAGGAGTCATGAACAGAATGTCAAACTGACCAAGCTCAGCTTTAGTCTGAACAGTGTAATCCTTCTGAGCGCTAGAAAGATATTCAGCTTTGATACCGCGTTGCTTCAAAGCCATTACCTGTTTTCCCATTTCTTCCATATTAGATAATCACTATCTCAAGATAGTGAAAAGGCATCAACACACAATAGAAATTTAAAACAAAAAGATGCATCCAGAAAAAATCGATTAATTCACCTGGTCTTGCATCAATGATATCAGAGGGCTTACAACTATCCCAGTTTTTCTAACAACCAAGGGAGGTAACTGATAACTGTTAAAAAAAATTAAAATAAAAAAAATAAAATAAAATAATGTTTCATTTATGAACTCTTCAATATAGGTAATTAACTTCAGAAAAGTGATGATGCTTTTTACCACAAGGACTTTCCACTACCGGTAGCCATGACTACCACGCAATCCCTTTTCTCAATAATTTTCTGAACAACATCTTTCTGATAAGGTCGAAAATCCGAAAACCCAAAGTATTGCTGCATGTTATTTGCAAACATATCAGCATTCAACAACTATAACACTCAAATACTCAAATTGATAACAGATAGGGTTAACTTTTAACAACTTTTCCATTGCACATTCAAATTATTTTATTTTATTTTTCCTTCGCTGGTAAGCAACAAAATGTAAGGGGTTACCTTCAGAACGGAGGTGACGGTCTCCATGGTGGCGAGAGAAGAAAGTGAACCGTGACGTGACGTTGTCAAGTTCGAAGCCGCTGAAATACTGACATGAACATGACTATTACAGTACACTCATACTCCCGCCAATTCAACCAGAAATGCTTTTGGTCCAAGATGGGCCTGGGCTTAGGCCTGACTATGGGCCCATACTTCACCTGGGCTGGGCTTGTCTTTTAGGTAACATAAATGGAAAAAAATACCTAATATTAATTTAGATAATTTTGTCTACTATTCAACGAAACGATGTTATTTTTATATTAAAAATTATGAAATTAAAATAATAAAAATTATTATAATTCTAAATAAATTAAAATTATAAATACATTATAATTTTTGTCCTAAAATGATATTGTTTTAATGAACATTAAACAAAATTATCTAAAGTAATTTTAGAAAAAACAAATTCAATATAAATAAACAAAATAAAATTTTTACATTAAAATTATATTTATATTTTTTTTTGGATTTTTGCAAATTTTGATACGACCTTGTTTATTTAATAGGTAATACTATTATCATATTATTGGATTAATAGAATTACCTACCTCCAAACACATTTCATAGATGAGTTTTTTGACAAATTTTTCTTTCACGTCATTTTTTTTTTCTCTCCTAAAATTTTCTTTTTGTGAACTAATACTATTCTCCTGTAACACGAGAATAATATTACCCTTATTTGATATAAATGAAAAAAATATAAACACATTTTTTTATATATAAAGTCATATAAAATTTTAATACGAAAGAATACTTTTCCAACCCTTCTGATTTTAAATTTGATGTTTTCTTAATTAGAATAAATAACCTTGATTATTTAAAATTTCATATTAAATTATTAACTCATCAGATTTCTGGCTTCTCAATTACTAATCCTCGAGCTTGTTCAATTTTTTTTTTTGGTGCATATAATTCATTTTATTAGTTGTTAATTATTATTATTTTGTTTGGCAACAACTAAAATTTTAATTCTACTCTATTTTCTCTCTCTAAAAAGGCACATGTACCCAAAAAAATAAAATGAGTTTAAATTAGTATTTATATATGGTTTTTATATTCCTAACATGAGATACATAGAAATTCCAGTGCCTTTTGAGAGTGACATGCAATAGCAAACATGTAAACATAAAAGTATCAAATGACTTGATCCTGTTGATCAATTATTTAATTAATTCAATTCGAGCAAAGAAAGACTACATAATTAATCAAATTTTCTTTATCAAATTTTAACACAATTGTATTTTCAAGAACGGAAACTCATATAACTAGTTAAGCTGGAACAACTTGTTACCGGTTGATCTAGGTGATTGGTGGTGCTTCAATACAAGTGTGTAAATCAAAGTTCCAAAGCAAGTACAAGAAATTGTTCAAATAGACTGAAAAACAGACGAGAAAACTTCAAACAGACAGTGTTTTCTTGAGAAACTTCCCAACAAAGAACTCCTGATTAAATGTAAATGTTTATTATGAAACACACAGAATCATCAAATATTGTTCCTTTATTATATATATATTTTTATCGAGATTTTCTTTTGGTAAATTTTTTCTATTTTATTTCTAGTGCCAGTTAAAGTGTCAAAAGACAAATTTTCTGTATTCTTCGGCTTCTTGAGCCATTTCTTCAAGGCTCCTTTCTTTCCTCTCTATATCTACCTCAAGCTTTCGTTTCAACTCTTTCTCCTTTTCATTTATCTGCATGCATCATGGACAAAACAGTCAATAAAGAACAAAGATCATATCAAAGTCACAACATTGGCATAAAACAACTAAATAATTAGAAATAAATAAAAGTTTCCATCATACTTCATCATAAATGTCATCATTGTTCTCGAAATCACCACTTTTCCGGGGAAGGATATGGATATGAACATGAGGTACCGATTGCCCTGCTTGGGGTCCATCCTATAGTTCAGAAAGGTGGGATTTGGTTAGGTTGGGAAATTACAAGCATAGGAAAGATTATATTTACAAATTTTTTGTTTACAAACTACACTAAGTATGACCTGTCATACTTCAATCAAGAGTATATGACCGGTCATACTTAGTATAATTTGTAAAAAAAGTTTGTAAACAGATCCTTCCCCTTAAAAGAATATACACGTATGTTCAAATAATTGCATATTTAAAGTACAAGCAAACACATCTACAGTAAAAAAAAGGCAAATCTCGATGCATAAAATTTCTCGATTTATAGAGATAGGGATAAGAGTCAATTGTATGCAATGTTACTCTTATATTTTTGCAAAAAAAACTATTTCTCATACTCGAACATGTGACTTTCCGATTACAATAAACAATCTAACTGCTGATCCAACACTAACCCTCTACGAACATAACTATAGGACTTTGGTAAAAAATAAAAATGGCATTTCTTATATTTCCTTTCGAATTGAGTGAGATTATAACATATACAAAATAGGCTAAATGCAAAAGAGGAATCATGCCAACAAATATGTGGTTAAACTCTTGTTCAATTGTCTTACTTGGATACAAAATGTAAGTGATGATGCCTTATGGTAGCTCTCAAGCTGCCTACCAAGTTTCTGTGCTATACACCATAAATCAGTAATCTCATCAGCAGTAAGATCTGCAACACGCTTCACTTCACGCTTTGGACAGATAAGCACATGTAGATACTATTAAGTCAACCAAATTCATCTCCAAATTAATAGCCAACTGGATTGAAGTTTACATTTTGCAAAATAATTATGAGCCTAATTCTTGACACTCTTAAGCAACCATGTGAAACCAATATTATATCAAGCACTGGTGGGCATATTCAGACCATGACCATGTCATACTATTTCTCTGATAAAACAAGATATAGTTTTACAACTATATACATGTCATATGGAATATCAATATATCAGTAATTAACACCTTCACACGGATCTTCTAACAGCAATATTGTCAATAGTAACCATTGTAATTATATAATGAAGTTGCATATGCTGATCTGTGGATTTACGTAGATGTTCCCACAGAACTCATTGTGCAGGATTGGAGGGTCATAGGCTCATAGCATATGTAAAGCCATCTTATAGCTAGTTTTAGCTTTCTTATTAAATTTGTACCTTAACTCGAAATTTACCAATTGCTAATAAAACACTCTTTTTGACACTTTCTTTGAAGGGTTTTATTTTTATTATATTACATAATATAATTTTACTTTCCTACACACACAACAAAGCAGAGAGAAAGTGAAATGATGAAAGAAAAGGGAAAAAATGTGAACCCCACATTTTTTATGTGTGTGTAAGAAAGTAGAGTTAGATAAATAATTTTACTTTGTTATATGTGTAGGAAAGTAAAATTATGTTACGTAACATAATAAAAATAAAACCCTTTCTTTAAAAAGTGAAATCTAATCTTATTACCCCATAAAAGCATTGTTCATCCCAACTTAGCATGTATCATTAACATCCTATTTAAAAAGGATATGACCTGCACAAGGAAAAGAAAAACCAATTAACAAAGTGGGTTTGCTAGACATGAGAAAACAAAAATTTTACTGTCCTTGGAAAGTAAGGAGGGAAAGAAATTTCCTCGTATCAATAATGTTTAAGAAAAAATGCATTAGTTTCAGCAAATGGCTTCAGTCACTACCAATTGTAAAGAAAATACAAATCTAGAGTCAGTGACTCAGTAAAAATGATTTAAAAGTAAATAATTTATTTATATATTAAAATTCAAATATCTCGTGAGAATTGAACACATAACTTAATACAAATTATCTAAATTCCTTAACACTAGACGCTTATTTTTTTTATTTAAAGTAAGTGATAGGATATTGTTACTAGCAATTAGTATTACTCCCAATGTCACTACTAGTTTGTTTCACTGTTAGATCGATTATGTTGATCCAGCAGTAATCTAGGAAACAGGGAGTGTCGTGTCCGACACGTTCCGACACGGCGACACGTTCCGACACGGTATCGGACACGCGGTCAACATTCCTGACACGTTGACCATTTCGACACGCGAATTTGACCAAGTCCGACACGCTCCGACACAGTCAAATGGCATTTTCGTAAATTTTTTATATTTTTTTTTAAAAAATTATTTTTTTAAAAAAATTATTTTTTAAAAATTAAAATATATTAATAAAGCTTCCACATGATCATATCAATTTTCCCCCCTTTTTTCCCTTAAGTAAATAATAGATCATCTCAGCACCATCGTTGTCGTTCATGTTACGCTCTTACCGTGTCTCCTCCTCCCTAATCTCTCTCTAATCTGATCTGACCTCTCTCTCTTTCATCCCAGTTCTTTTTTTTTTATTAAAGCTTCCACCTTATGTTTGATTGTGTTCTTGATGTTCTTATTTTACAGTGTATTCTTTTAGTTTATGTTTTTGCCTTTTGCGAAGAAAGCTGCTACAATTTTTGGTATTAGGTGTCGGTGAATTTTTTTTGCTGCTATTGCCATTGTTTACATCATATTTTTCTTTTCTTTTTCTTTTTTTCTCCATTTATGTAACACCTTGGATTCCGACTTTGAATCAATTTTTCTTATGTGGTTTTGGATTGGAAAGGAAAGTTGAAAGATAATATTTTGATGGGTATTATTAATTTAATTTAATTTTTTGTTAAATTATTGAATATTAAATGAAATATACACTATATAATTAAAAATATTATTTAATATTAAAACGTGTCTCAACATGTCGAAATCCATAATTTTTTAGGATTGACGTGTCGGAGTGTCGTGTCGGTGCTATATTGGCAGTAATATTTATTTTCATTTTATATGGTTATGATTCTATATATTTAATGTGAAAGCATTAAATATGAAAAATTATAATTATATAAAGAATGAAATTAAATATAAAATATTAAATATAAAAAGAAGAAAGAAGATTTTTAAAAAGTTAAATAAGAACAGTTAGATCAATAACAGTGAAACAACTCACAGTGACATTAATAATAACACTAATTGATATCCTATCTCTTAAAGTAAAAGCTAATTTAATCTCACAACAAACAAAGTAAAAGAACAAAAAATTCGGTAACTTTGAATAGTAGATATTAAAGCATAATGATGAAAGAAGTGAGGAGAGAGGGAGGGAAGGAAGCACCATACCCGGCGCAGCAGGACGAAGATTGACAAAGGCAAAAGAAAGATCAGTTGTATAGAACACTGAACTATGATGGATCTTGTAAGGTCCAAAATCATAGTATTCCACAGCCATCTATATTTGCTGTTAAAAATAAATAAATGGTTATTCTCAATATACATACAGCAAATAATGAAGATAATATTTTGATGATTCTGATTAGTTGTTTGTTTACCTTACGCAGGGAGCAAGAGAGGAGATACTGGTCTTGACGAATGTTCAAGAAATAATCAAATGCTTTGCCAATTGTATTTTGCTTTTGAGACTTTATAGAAATTTTTTAATGGAAATTATTATTGTTATTCTTCTTTAATTATTATTGTTATTTTTTTAATGAAATTTCATGTAGATAAGTGTAAAATAAAATAATGAGGGACCAACAAATCATTGGAGAAAAAAAAAAGTGGAATCCACATTTATTATATGTGTGTAGAAAGATAAGTTATCTCATATTGAACGAGATAAATATAACTTTTTTTAATTTATCCTTACTTACTCCCTTGTCTTTTTCTTTTGGAAGAATAATAGGATACTTATAATTAAGAAGTCTTTGGAAAAGTATTTAAAATTTTGCGAATGATTAATTAAATGAGTAGTAAATTAAGTCAACAATCAATAATTGTTAATTAGTCCCCTTGTTTCTGTACTTACCTCACAATGTTATTTTTAATTTATTTATTTTTTAAAGAAAAGGGATGAAGGCGACGTGAAACGTAGGCCACGGATGAAAATAACCTCAAATTAAGATCTAACACATTTTTGGATTTGGAGTGATACATAAACTTTACCAAGTATTGAACACAAGTTCTTTACTTATCTTAAAATGTCTTCTTGTTGACCTTACCTCAAAACTAATTTTTAACAAAAACTAATTTTTAACAAATATTGTTCAAATCATAATGCACCCAAGAATGATTAAACCAGATTAGATATTGATTTGGATTCATCCAATGTGGAATTATGGGCCTAACCGGTAAGAGGTCCAAAAGACCCAAACTATTACTTAGTAAGGAAGAAAACATGGTCATTTTGTATAACTTGGTCATCTCGCAATTGTCTGATACACGGAACAAGCTGCTTAGTCAATTGTCGCCACATGACATTAGCTGTTCAGAACAACACCACTCTCATATGAGCTAATAGCCTAAGAATAGACACCTACTTGCCGCTACATCTATCAAGGCTTAGTCTAGCTATAGACATCCTGCGCAGGGCGTAACTTGCAAAGATTATTACTCTCCACCAATAAGAAGGAATATCACTATACCAAGGCGGCATAACCATAACGCTCTTTATTATAAATACAGAGGCATTAAGCCCAAGTATGATTGTCAGAGTGCCTTGCAAGTAGACACCTACTTGCCGCTACATCTACCAAGGCTTAGCCTAGCTATAGACATCATGCGCAGGGCGTAACTTGCAAAGATTATTACTCTCCATCAATAGGAAGGAATATCACTATACCAAGGCGGCATAACCATAACATTCTTTATTATAAATACAGAGGCATTAAGCCCAAGTATGATTGTCAGAGTGCCTTGCAAATAGACACCTACTTGCCGCTACATCTACCAAGGCTTAGCCTAGCTATAGACATCCTACGCAAGGCGTAACTTGCAAAGACTATTACTCTCCACCAATAGGAAGGAATATCACTATACCCGGGCGGCATAACCATAATGCTCTTTATTATAAATAAAGAGGTATTAAACTCAAGTATGATTGTCAGAGTGCCTTGCAAGTACCTCCCCCAACCATTTCAAGCCACCTCATAGTATCAGTCTAGCATCAAATATCTTGCATTGCATCTCGCCAACCATCCAGATATCCTGCAGTAATTTGAGGACAAAGCCCAACTCACCAGTGTCAAGCTCAACCATATATGATCCAGCTCAATATTTATTGGACTGATAAGATATAAAAAGAAAAAAGAAGAACAAAGGTTCGATTAAGTGCTGTTACTTTGAGTTGAACCACGTTGTCATTACCCTTCAAACTTTAGTACAAATGTACAATGCAACATACAATATAAATCATAAAATTCCCCTGGAAACTAGAATTTGTGTGACATGTATGGTCCAGTACAACTCAAAAGTTATAATGTAACGGAACACATTTTTCTATGGCAACAAGGAAGTGCATTAAATAGTCTATACTGGGATAATTCAGAAGATCAAATGAAGCAGAAATAATTAAATTTCAACTGCTGGCTAAAATGTTATAAGAAAAGTTTTCTGTATTCATCAGCCTCATGTGCCATCTCTTCAAGGCTTCTGTCTTTCCGCTCCTTGTCCAAGTCAAGCTTTTCTTTCAATTCCTTCTCCTTCTCATCCATCTGAACAAATGAAAAACAGCAAATAAAGAATAAATATCAGATGAAAAAGAATATTAGAATCAAGAGCATAGCCATGAGAAATATTTCTATCCTACAGCATCATATATCTCATCGTTCTTCTCGAAGTCACCACCTCTCCGAGGGACAACATGTATGTGAACATGAGGTACCGTTTGTCCTGCTTGGGGTCCATCCTAAGGTACAGAAAGATAATTCAGTTATTTTGTGAGGCACAAGTAGTGTATCATGCAGACAGCACAGTAAGTAGGAAAATTTTGAATACTAAATACTAAATACAGTAAGTAGTAAAAATACTCCTAGTTACCGAAAGGTGTGTTGGAGTATGGAAAACAACCTTTTTATAAAAATACAAGAGTAAGGCCGCATACGATCATTTTACGATTGACTAAATACTGGCCAAAATCACAAAATTGAACTCCTCCCTTATGCAATGAAGGCGGTTTACATGTTGGTATTTGGTCATCTCATCATTAGAAAAATTGCTTAACATCATATAATGGAGAACACAGCTATTTTCAAATTTCACATAAGAGCTTAACTACAAAATATTAGACAACCTGTAACTTAGACACAATTGTCCTGACAAAAAGGAAAAGGAAGAGTAAAATGCACCGACAAATTTCAGCCTCTTGTAGACTCACATGCTTAATAACTTCGCAAACAAGAGCTAGGAAGAAAATAATTGTTAAAAAAAATTATATCTATCATGAATCTTTGTAGAAAAGAAATGAAACGATAATTAAACAGACAGACATTTCATACAGTTAATATTGGATAATAAGTTCTTAAACATTCCATCTTTTTTCATTACCACAATGCTCATGTATGAAAGCATCATCTTGTTCACATAATAGCATATGCATGTAAATGAGATTCATTAAGAGAAGAGGCAACAACTAGAAGGAATGAGGAGCACGGCGGAAGTCAGCATCCATCTGATTTCTGATTTGGTCAAATATAAAAGGTGAGTGTGTATCCAAAGACACTGCAAGTTTGCAACACAAAGTGCACAACTAGAACTAAACAACAAATATGAACAATATATGATCATCCAGGAATAAAATACATATGTTAAAGAAGAAAGTAAATTCAAAAGTCAAAGAAGAATGATTCTAATCCAAAGTAGATAGTAAAAGAAATGATTAAATGAGCATACTCCACTTCAATCTTACTTGGATAGCAAAAGTAAGTGATGAAGCCTTATGGTAGCTCTCAAGCTGCCTACCAACTTTCTGTGCAGTAAGCCATAAATCAGAAGTCTCATCAACAGTGAGATCAACGAATCGCTTAACTTCGCGCTTTGGACAGATAAGCACATGTGAATACTGTTAAGTCAATCATTTTCATAGCTGTATGGATTCAAGCTTACAACTTTACATTGTGTACAATAAAAGAATCTTAAGCCTAATCCTTAAGGCTCTTTAGCAATTAACTGTGAAACTAATATAACTATCATGTACTTCCAACATCTTCAACACAACATTTGCAGGGCACAAATGACTTCCCTATATGGTACATCAAACACTTAACTACATGGTTATTTCTAGCAAAAGTTGAATGCATTTTGATGACCATGATGAAACCATAATGCTTATGCACTGCAATATGCAGCAAAATTTAACATAGCTATATTTTTGCTTGTTACTGTTTTCTTAAAAAAAAAAAAAACAGTGACACGTTATGAAATTCACCCAATTAGAAGTTTCATCCAGTCTTGAACTACCAAAATGCTTGTTATTGAAACCCAAAAAAAGGATATGACCTGCAAAGCGGCAAAAACGAATAAATTATCAAAATGGGTCCTTTTTAATCTCATAAAAGACAACAATTTCATAAACAACATAGTAAAAAGATCAATTATATTTTTTTTGGTGAAATCCCCATTTAACTAGCTTTACTGTTCTTGATTAAATTAATCAATAAAAAAAAAAAAAAAAAACTGGGAAAGGGAATTCAATTATGCATATTTGAAGAATTAGTGATGATGGGCATTCATACCAGGGAGAAGAGGACGCAAGTTAACCATGGCATAAGAGAGATGGGTGGAGTAGAACACTTCACTGTTGTGTATCTTGTAAGGTCCAAAAGTGTAGTTTTCCGCAGCCATCTATGTCAAGAGAAGAAGATGATAAGTGGTTGGAAGTGGAAAGTAGAAAAATCGCAGAGAGAAAAAGTTTATGGATCTTCTTTACCTTAATTGAAAAGGACCAGATTGGTCGGATTCGTAGCGATGTTGAAGAATGTAGCAGAAAACAACGAGGAATCTGGCCAATGCAGGGCAACATTGGACAAATATTTATCATGTGTACATAATACATATACATATGTATCTTAAAATATCAAATTCAAATTTTTTTTATTTATTAAAATTTGTACCTCATTGTGTGTGATATACTTCATAGTTTTAATTTTTTTATTTTTGGAAAAATCAATGTCATTTGCTATTACGGAGCAATATTTAATAGAAAAAATGTTTTTCCTATCACAAGAGATAATACTCTTATAATTTTAAAACTTTTGTATTGGGGGAATTAATAAAGGGTATTTTGATAATTTTGTTTATTTTTTTATTATGTGAATTTTATCAAATATCCTTTATTAATTTTTCTAGCCTCAAAGCAACATAGTTTTGGGATTGTAAGAGATAACGATAAACTCATATTTAATTTAAAAAATAAAAATTAAGTTTAATTTTAAAAAACATGATTTCACTTTTAATTAGGGAGAATAACGATTTAATTTTATTAAATAGGTAAAATTACCTTGTGAATTATTTTCAGTTTTTCACTCATGATAACAGTCACTTAGTAATTATTATGTTTATGAGTATAACTTGTATTTGAGTAATTAAACTTCAATATTCATTACCAATTAAACGTAGTGTTTATTGTTTATTTCCTATTGTATTTGTTTTAAATCTTCATTTTCCTATGAATTTTTTTTTATTAGGAGGTTTTTGAAATTAATCTAAATAAATATAGGGGAAAGTTATAATTATCACCATTTTAAGTTTATTACTCTCACTACCTGTTTAATTATTTGATCAATTTGAAATCAATAGTTAAAAAATAGAAAAAATTAACTATAGTTAGAATGAGAATATTCTAACTATCAAAAATTATTTGGTAGTGAAAAATTTTAGTAGTTAGAATATCCTCCTCTTAACTAAAAATTACAATGATTTACACCAATTACCTTGAAACACATATTAGCGTTAAAAAAATGTATTATTGCATATTCAATGGGCCAAAGCTCACAGCCCAAAACATGTTTAACATAAAACAAAAGTTTTGGGCAATTCCATATGAAAAGCCCACTTTAAAAACACACACACTCTCTCTCTCTCTCTCTCTTCCTCTCTCTCTACTTTATCTTGTGATTGCGGTGTTCCTCAACAATGGCGAATGTGGCTGTTATGGCTACCACCACTGACACCAAGTGGTGCATGGCTTCGTTGCGCTCTGCTCTGCCATCTCTTTCTCCTTCTCCTTCTCCTTCTTCTTCTTCTTCCTCCTCCTCTCTAACTTCATTGCGCTTCCCTTCATTCTCATCTTCTTCATCATCACCAAAACTCCGAATTTCGAAGACCAAACCCAAATCGCTTCTTCCCTCTTTCACCGGCCTTTCCCCTCTTAACCCTCTCTTCCTTTCCGGTTCTTCTTCTTCAGGTATACTTGTTTATTTCATTTCCTGTTTTTGAATTGCGTGCATTGCTGTGATTCTCTAACTTTTTTTTTCTTCTGTTGATTTGTTTTATCAAATGTTAAATTTTTATTGAAAATTTAAGATATGGGTACAGAAATATATACTAAACATATTATTTATGTTTATGATAAATGCTAGTAACACGTTATTTGACACTCTTTTATGATAAGAGCACAACAATGAGCATGGAGAGAGAGAGAGAGAGAGAGAGAGAGAGAGAGAGAGAGAGAGAGAGAGAGAGAGAGAGAGAGAGAGAGAGAGTGAGGGTTTTTAAATATCAAGAAATTATACCCATGACCACCAAGTAGAACAATTGATAAGGGGTTCTTTGAGGTTAACCAGTAACTGTGTTAAAAATTTGTTAGGGAGAGCTTTGTGGTCGTTGTGGTCTTGTTCGGTTCGACCGCTTTAATAATTAATTGATGAACTGGTGGAGAAATTTAATAAAAGAAATTATGCCCATGTTCACTGTTTTTTCTTCTCTAATTTTAGGATTTAGTGATTACAACTTTGGAAAGAACTATGGGTACTTTGAAAATCTATTATCATTTGGATTTGTAAAAGCATTGGAATTTTTAGATAATTGTTATTCATTTGTATGGATGGAGAAAATTAATCTGATAGGCCCAATCAATGACTCAGTGCTGTTCATGTTTACTGTTTTTTCTTCCCTAATTTTAGGATTTAGTGATTACAACTTTGGAAAGAACTATGGGTACATTGAAAATCTATTATCATCTGGATTTGTAAAAGCATTGGAATTTTAAGATAATTGTTATTGATTTGTATGGTTGGAGAAAATTAATCTGATAGGCCCAATCAATGACTTAGTGTTGTTCTTGTTTGATCAAGTGAAGAAATCATATTGTAAGATTGCTACTGAGGTTGTTGCCTGTGGATGAAATTTGCTTTCCAATTGTGTCCATTATCCTTTGAAATTTAGTATTGCCATTCCCATTGAGTTCACTACTGTTATTTATGTTCTTGGTACAGAGTTTACCAGTTTTGGTCACTGTTTTACCATTATTGACAATGGTGGTAGAGTCTATGCCATGAGACATGGGAGGAAAGTGCCCAAACTCAACAGGCCCCCTGATCAGCGCAAGGCACTTATTCGAGGCCTTACAACTCAGCTCCTTAAATACGGTCGCATCAAGACCACAAGACCAAGAGCCAGTGCAATTAGGAAGTATGTTGATAAAATGGTCACTTTGGCAAAGGATGGTTCTCTTCATAAAAGGAGGCAAGCCCTTGGGTTCATCTATGAGAAGCAGATTGTTCATGCTTTATTTGCAGAGGTTCAAGAACGTTATGGTGAAAGAAATGGGGGTTATACAAGAATTATAAGAACCCTTCCGAGACGAGGTGATAATGCACCTATGGCATACATTGAACTTGTGTAGCCATCGCTTTTATTTGGGTGCAATTATTAGTTAATCTCAGTGCAATGTTGAGATTGATAATGCATCCAATGGTAACAATTGATTCTACAGTTTTTCCTGTGTTGAGTTGTATTTGTATTATGCCTTTTGGACTAGTTCTCAGTTTGCATCTCTTTCTGTACGTTTGGACAAACAACCATCTTTGATCTTAAGTGATCATCTGCAAAAGGTAATAGATTCACTTTTTTTGTTGTTGCAATAAGCACTTATTTTTAAGGATAAGTACTTACTCATGTTCTTAAGTGTCTTTGTATTTGTCCTATGCGCTGCTGCATTTGTTTTTTAAACAGATACTAGCAATATCCTTCTTTTTGGAAATTGAGTTGAAAGCCAAAATGTTCTTGTTTGTTTAACCATTTCGGGAAAAATCGCAAAGCTGGAGCTACTTTCTTTTTAGGGTAGAGTGTGGGGCAGAAAAAAACCCAAAGGAATCCACAACAAACCAACTAAGCAACCATTGTGCCTGCTAGATCATCCTTCAACATTGGGAGGGAAAATGACACACTTACATCTAAATAGGATTTGGATCCTTTCCTGTTTTGCATAGCAAGATATGGTCCTGTTAACAAGATATATACTTTTTAAAATAGTCAGTGGTTCTCTAACAAGATCGTATCATGTTATAGAGGAAGAGAAGAAGATACAAATTCATGTGAATATCATATCCACTCAAGAAGGGTGCTTAGTTTTTTGTAAGACCTGACGAGAGACAAAGCACACACAGGAGTAACTATTAAAAATTTGGTTGCCATAGGAATCTATGCACAACCTTTGTTATTATACTTATTAAGCCCGGTTTAGAAATTTTTGGATATACTAGTAAGAATTGATCGCATAATCTAATAAAAATTAAGATCAATTCTAATGGCTTCGGTTGAGAAGTTTTTGGTTTGTTCATTTAGGCTTCTGTACTACTCGGTAAAAAAAAGAGTTTTGTAACTTATATATAAGCCGTTTTGTGGTTAATTTTCTTAAGTTAAAAGAATTTCTAACTATACTAACCTTATTAAATCATCACAAGTTTCATTTTTACCAAAAGGACACTGCACTTATGACAACAAAATTTATTTAACAAGCACTATTCGAATAGTTTATATTTAAGCTGTTTAGTTATTGATGATTGTAAAGCAGTTGCAAATGTGGAAATAGAGCTATTAAGAAGAGATTAAAGGTAATTCTTTTTTTAGTAGTTTGCTTGATACTTTAAATTTAATTTTCTGATCCGGATATTAAAAAGAAACCACAATGATGTAAATTCTATCATGTGAACAATAAAAAATATAAATAAATAAGATTTTCCTCCTTCTTTCTATCAATTATGTTAAGGAAACTCATTTTGGAACATGATATGGTGTGTATACGTCACAAAGATAATTATTTTAGTAAAATAAATTATGGGTTTAGTGTATTATTTAAAAGAACACAAGTATATTTTTTTAGTGACTTACACAAAATATGATTGGTCATACTTTGTGTAAATATGAAAAGTTATTTTTTTTTTTCACTTTATACGTCAGTTAGCGATGTGATTGGAGAGAGAAAAAAAAAATAACATTTTAAATTTACACAAAATATATATTTTATATAAATCACTTAAAAAAATATAAATATGTGTTCTTTAAAATGATAATTATTTGTTCCATAAATTATATTGACAAGAAAGTAACTAAATACTAGGAAAGCAAGAATAGAAGTAAGTAACGTAGGTAGATTTAGATAACTAGATAAGGTTGTCATTGATATCTCTGAACCTGTCCCATTGTCCTTCGCCAAGTGCCATCCCTCGAGGGGATACTCTTTGCTTCCTTCAGTTTTTGTTCTAACTCTCTTTTAACACACGCATTCTCTCTCTCTTTCTCTCTCTCTCTCTCTTCTCCAACCTTGCAGATACCAAGTAACAGGAAAGGTTTGGAAAAGCTTTGTTGTTTGTCACAAAACAAGAAAAAAGCACGATGCTGGGTGTGGCGACTCTAACTTTGGGTTCATCAACTGCAATGGTAGCTCAACATGCTACCACTCTAACTCTTGGCAAGGAGTTAGCACTCCCTGGAAGCAGAAGGCACATCCTTTCTTATAAGACTCACTCTTCCACCAACCAAAATTGGAACTCACTCTTTTCCTTCAGGGAACCAACACTTGCTTCTCCTTTCACCACTGCTGTTGCATCTCTTGATTCTGACAAGCTCAGTTCTTCTGATCCTCCCACCAAGGTTTCTTCCTCTCTCTTTCACTCCAACCCCCACATTAGAATTTTTTGTTCAATTATTTGTTTATTCTCTTTTGAGTTATGTTTTCCTTGTCCTGAGAGAAAATGCTTGATGATTTCTAAACATGGGGTTCATGTCACAATTTTTGAGTTTGGTTTTGATGGTAATTAGTTTATTCCTATTTTTTTTTTGGCTCTTCTTGGCAGAGTGACACCAACAAGTATTATTTTCTTGTTGCAAATGCAAAATTTATGCTGGATGAGGAGGAGCATTTTCAAGAACAACTATTTGAACGGCTTAGGTACTATGGAGAGCGTGATAAAGAACAGGATTTCTGGCTTGTCATTGAACCTAAGTTCTTGGATAGATTCCCTGACATAACCAAGAGATTAAGGAGACCTGCTGTTGCTCTTGTATCAACCAATGGTCCTTGGATCACGTAAGAACATCAATTCTTCATTTTTCAGTGATTGATTATGCAATTGCTCTTAACTGTATAATGTACATGAAATTCTGATGCTTCATTGATGTTTGGAGGGGTTGTCATAAACTATGAAGGGAGGGCAATTCTTTCATGTCATCTGCGTTACGATCCATGACCAAATTGTATATTTATTTTCTTACATTGGAAGACATTTTAAGACTTAATGTAGAACCTCTACACAAATCCCTGGTCCCCTATGGTTAACCACCTAAGCTAAGCCCAGGTGACTAAATTATGTCTTTTTATATGGTTGCATCATAACGATTCTCAGTTCTCAAGCAAAAGTTGGTCATTTGCTTTATTTTTCGTTTTTCTTCTTGTCAGTTGGATTTGTTAAATGTGTTAAACTGTTGAGATATATAAAACCATTAATGTAACCTCACCCAATAGCTTAAGCTTTTGGGTTGAATTGGTTCTTTACATGGTGTTAAAGCCTCGTGTCCCGGGTTCGATCCTCACCGCTCCCCACTTTCTTTCAAGTGGAATTTCTTTCTTCGCACAGGTAGGACCTGTGCATTGTCCACCCTTCAAGTCCAGTGGGCTCTCGTGTAAGGGGCGTGTTGAGATATATAAAACCATTAATGTAACCTCACCCAACAGCTTCAGCTTTTGGGTTGAATTGGTTCTTTACATGGTATCAAAGCCTCGCTGCCCCCCACTTTCTCTTGTGGTGTTTCTTAGCACAGGTAGGCTGAGCCTGTTGCATTGTCCACTCTTCAAGCCCAATGGACTCTTGCGTGAGGGGGCGTGTTGAGATATATAGTCCCACATTGGTTGTATGTGCAACCAATGTGAAGTTTATAAGGCCTTGGGCACTCCCACCCTTTGAGCTAGCTTTTGGGGTGGTGTATACCAAGGTTCTTTACAACTATATATCTCAACATAAACCATAAACGGGTTTCTGTGTAATTTTTTCTCTCTCTAATTTTAGTGCTTGGGTCCAGCGGATAGTATCTCTACCCTTTTTAAGTGATATAATTTAGGAACAATGGGCCTAAAAAAGAAGAATTGTATGATCAACAAGATTGCTACAATGAAAGTTTTCGACATAGCATCAAATGCCAGGTTTTGATGTTTCAGCCAACTTGTAACTCTGTCCCTATGTGTTTTGGCAGATTCATGAAGTTAAGACTGGACCGAGTTTTAGCAGAAAGTTTTGAAGCTGAGAGCCTAGAAGAAGCGTTAGCCTCCACTCCTACTAATCTGGAGTTTGAGAAGCCTGAAAAATGGGTGGCACCCTATCCTAAATATGAATTTGGATGGTGGGAACCCTTCTTGCCCTCTGGACAGAAAGAGGTGAAGTCTTAAGAATTTTTTTCCGCTCTGTTTCTGTACTTGGTATTCACAAATATTTTTCTCCAAGGGTTTTTTGTTCATGTATAACTGGATGGAGGTTGAAGTTGGCTAAATTTGCATTTCAGTTTTGTAATTTTTGGAAGGCAGTATACTTATTTAAAGTTGAAATGTTGTCCTTAGGATCTAAGTTCTAGGAATTGGTTTTATGTCTCTCAAATGAGTGAAGTATAGATATTGTTATCAAATTGATGTTTTCTGTTGCTCAAATTGCGTGTGAAGGACGGCAGCTTGTTAGATTTTGTATCTTTAAAATAAACTGACTTCAAAGGTACTCATATCATATTCATATTATATCAAAATTGCGTGTAAGGGCTTGAAGCGAGTCTATATAACTGTATTAAGTGAACTTACCTCAAAATGTACTCAGTTTACACTTTTTATCCATTGCTTCCTTTAAAAGCATACAGAGCCTTGTCCTATCACCATCCAATGCTCCTGAGAGTTCGGAACCTAAATCTACCTATATCTAAGGACTTGTTTGCTTTGGCAGCTATAATTTTGGAGCTTGTCCTCCTCATTACAGATGTACTTTGTAGTCCATATTCTGAACTTACTCCCCATCTCTGAGGCGATAACATTTCAGATACCTAAGCATTCTTGCACTCTTTGTGATGAGAACAGTTTTGACTTAGGGTCTGGGAAACTGTTGGGCTCTAGTGTGGCATGCAGGTTTCTGTTTGGGGTTGGAGGTCCTCACCTTTTCTGTTTGAGTCTGAGAAACTGTTGGGGCCTGTGGGGCAATTTTATGCTGGGATGATTAATGAAAACTTTTTAACGTTTCAGCAATTGCTTTTAGCCATTGGCTTTGCCTAGAAATCCAACTGCTAATTTGCTCAATCCTCCAGGAATTGTATCTGACTTGTATAGATTCTTAATTGTGTCTCCTCATGTGTAACTGTTCATACTGAAGTGTGAAGTAGTTAAATAAATCCCATCAATCGCTTGACAGATTGTAATACCTCTTACCATAAAAGATAGGTTCAAATTAGAGGCATCTCATACTTCCTCTCTCTTCACTGGGCTGTCTCTTTAACCTTATTTTAGCTATGACAACATTTGTACATCTCCTTGATAACTTAAAGTAGTTTTCTATTTGGGATAATCTGATAGGATTCCGATAGAACTTTGAGAGAAAATTGAAGGGAAAACGTGTATTACAAGATCCATTTTGTTAGGAAGAATACTAGACAAGAAAGCCAACTAAAGTGCAGGTTATTGGATTTCATGTGGAAATCTGCAAAAAAGTGTTATGTGAGCGCTGCACAGATCCACAAGTAAATCTGATAGTGTAGAAAAGGGGTATGAATTTTTGTGTGCTGTATATCTAGAATTACGCTTTCCCTACTCTAGATACCTTCTTATTACAGAAAGAACATGATTAGATATATGCTGAAAATTTAACTATAATGAAGTTATGCTTTAAAGAAAGAAGGACCACTAAGTTTCTGTCTAGTTCATGGAAGTGGAACATGTTTTCTGCATTTCTTGAAGATTGTTAATCTTTCTCTTAATTCATCCCTTCCATGAGTCTGGATCATACTTCAACTGCGACCAGCCTTCAGTTATGGTCTTACACTCTTACTTCTAGCCATTACTGGTCATCTTTCCCAACCATAGACCAGATTCTATTGATGGTTTGGCTGCTTTCTGCTAACAAATATAGGTTTTGCTAGTTGTGACACATGCCCACATCTAACGCTGCACCTGGATTACAGTCAAATGGTCATTATCCTTCCTTCAAATATGTGGTTAATGGGGATATTATCAATTACTAATTAATCAATCAATACACGTTGTTGACTATAAATCTGTACGCCATTAACCAGTGTAATATTACGGTACAAAAATTAGTATGCATGTATCAGTGATGATCAAATATACACTTCTTCAGTACATCATTTATGCAAAGGCTAGTTTAAAATTGCTGAACGTGATGAGTGAGTCTTGAATTAAACAAATACTAGCTGCAACTACTAAACACAGTTATGTAGCAATGTTGTTGTATGCACATGTTGTTTACAGTTTCGATAACAAACAGAAGCAAATACTACCATGGTTAAGTATCAATCCGAAACATAACCATAACATGCAAAAGGAATTGCATTACCTCTATTCTAGAATGCTGTCTTGTAAGGGTTGGGAATTTCGGAAAAACTTCTTCATCAACTCTGCATATCGATTATTTAATTCACTAAATGCCTTCTCAGCAATGATGTTAATAATATCCTCATGCCTTTCATATACTGCTGGTACTATCAGCAATATAACGGACACTACCCCAACAAAGCAAAAGAGAAAGCATATTAGTACTAACTTGCACTTCGCTTGAAGCATTTAATATACACATATCATTATGTGTGTGGAATATGTCACTGTTATGATAGATAGCAATATGAATTAGGCTATTATAAATTGTAGGTGTTTTGTAATTTGACAATAAGTGGCTAACCTATGTAGAAGAGAGTAGCAGCAGTGAACCAAGTGCCAAGAACTGAGACAGCTCCCAATGTAACTGTAACCTGCAGATTATTTTCTTGTCAGAGAAAACCAAATGACACTGTGACAAGATGGATAAGCTAGCTTAGGAGGATGCTGAGAGGCACCAAGAGAAATTTCTTCAAATCTCTTCCAGAGGCTAGGACACCAAATGTTATGAGTAGTTGGTTAAGTTCATTTGTCATTGAAATAGCAGCATTAACAAGCAACCCTTCAGGTAAGATGAGTGCTGATAATTTAGGTGTAGATCTGTATTAAAAAGAAAAAAGCATCTTCCCTTAAAACAATAATCCAACAAAGTATGCAGATAAACTCATTCAATGAATAAAATCAATAGAAGAAAGTAGGCTGGCAGCACCATGCGAAGAGAGAGGAAAAAAAATTCCTCTTGCCAAGCCCTTTGGACTGGGGCTAGGGGATTCATTCAAATATGAAATGGGCTTATTGTTAAAAAAATAAAAGGTGTTTTTTTTCTCCCGTTGTTGGAGAAAATAACACCCTTCCGCAGACACAAATTTTTAATCTTTTTTTTTTTAATTTTTTTTGGCTTATGGGGACCACAAGCTTATGTTTGTGCAGGAATGGAGTTTTGTTTTCCTGTAAAAAGAGAAATAAATATCCCTAAAAAAAAAGGCTTTAACAACTTATTGATAGAGTGAATTAAACTCACATGTTGATGAAGGAGGTTAAATGGGTCCAGAGGAACAGCACTGCCAATAGGAGTATGAGAGAGTCACAAATGAAACTAAGCAGAGTGTAATCCATATTCTTAAAAAGGATCCATATCAAAGTTACACCGGCGAGAATGCTTGCTGAGATCTGCTTGTCTCTCCATAGTAGAATATCAGCAACTAAGCGGACAGAAACCAAAAGTTTACCATACATTTCATCATAACTTGAACAATTTTTCCAACTGTTTAATGTAAAATGACACTATAATATACAATTCACACCCTCAAACATAACAAAGCATGTCATGTAAATGAAGGAACACATGGAATGTAAAAGAAGCAGAATAACATACTTTTTCCAGAGCCTAGGACAACATGAAGTGGCCTTTTCCTGCCAAACATGCGGTTCTTGAAAGAAGAGAATACAAAGTATTTCTCAAACTCAGAGTCAAATTCTGAGTCATCATCATCAAGTTCTTTGTTACTGAGAAAATCAGAGTCTGCAACATCCATGAATTCCGTTGGTTGATGCATTCTTTATCCTCCTTTTTCTTCTCTCTCTATATATATTAGATCTTTCCCTAATGTTATAAATATAGTAAAACCTGTTAACATTTCCAATGAAAAACAATGACATGCATCAGAAAAGGCATATATATATATATATATATATATATATATATATATATATATTCATTACATAGACAAACAAAGAACGTCAAATCTAACGATGACAAGTGCACAACACGTATGCATGCATGAAAAAATTCGTCAGCATGAATGTTAGAGATTCACATATATGCACACACACTATATACATAATCACCTTTAAAGTTTAAAGATGAAATATATAGTTTCTTACCATTATGGATTAATAAGACTTCATGGATTCGTTTTGGAGAATCTGCTTTCTGCCTCTGGAATCTGCTACAAATCTCAGGGAGCCTATACAACGAAACCGACCCCTTAATGTTCGCATGAAAGCCATCATGACTTGGAAGTTTAAATAGCATTCTCTTTTGGTTTTCAATATTCTTATTTTGTTTAAAGAAATTTAAATAAAACATACATTAAATGAAGGGTAATGTTTTTTTATGCTAAAACTTACCTCGTGCCATAGATCCTTCGAAATTTGAGCCATCAATATTTTTTTTTATAGTGTGGAATCCACTTGAAAATGTCTATGTAGGAAATACTCTTATCTTCAATGACATAAGAAATGTAATATCCCGAACACTGACGAGAACGAGGAGTGATCGTCGGTGCGAAAGAACATGGTACGAAAGGGCACAAACACTCCTGACAGGCTTTCAGCGGGAGTTACATGAATGAATCAAATCGACACCCGAAAGAGAGAGATTCCAAAGACTGTGCAGGTATGAGACTGCACAGTTGAGGATAGGTTATAAGAATTAATTGATACTACCTATACTAACAAGATGCATCTACTTTTCGGTAGCCCGAAACGAAAGAACTCTATAGTTAAGCGTGCTTGACTTACAGTAATCATGGGATAGGTGACCTCTTGAGAAGTTTTCCCAAGAAGTGTGTGAGTCAGGAAAATGGTTATTAATAAGGAGAGAGAGACTCCTTAAGTGGTGTGATTTAAAATAATCAACAGCTTCAAAAACAAGTCATGTATTACATGGATTAAATAAGACAATGTTGATTACTCAATATTCAAGTTTGTCTAATATGCTCTTAGCTAAAGTGCAAGTCATACCCCTTGTACACTGTTCGGTCCTTTATAGACCGTATTGCTATACCGTGAGGTATGCGCTCAGAGATATAGTATAATCGAGTGTATACTTGGCTTATAGCCGATGTCCCAATCACTGCGCACAAGCAACAGGCTTATGGCCAAGGGGTGGGTGGGTGTGTGCACAGTGTGGGCAGTATTAGTAAATAGGTCAAAAGTGTGTACCTGGGGTTCTTAGGCTCTTATTTATAAGGTTTACCTTCCTAGGCTTGGGCCTTTTTGAGCTCCCCAGATTGCATTAGGGTTCAGCTCCCTTGCTGTTGGGATGTGACCCTTATCTTGTGTACTTTGACTATTTAGAGTTGTTGAGATACACAAGAATCTATCTCTTAGTAGATTCTTAGGTGAGTAGTTGGGATATGATATTCATATCCATAACAGTTGCCCCTCAGCTTGGTATTCCGAAGCTCGAAATGCCGAGGTGTCGTTATATCATCTCTGATCCGATTCGTCTGAGTTCGTTGATTTCGGAATCGAGCCCTCGAAAGTTCGGTGTCCGTGATATTACTCGGAGCCGATTTTGCCGAGGTCGCTCGCATGTTGTTTTTCGCTTGGATGCCGAGGTGCTGTGACCTCGTCTCGGGCCCGATTGGACTGAGCTGGCTTGTTCGGGAGTTCTGTTCCTTGGAGATGTCGGTTAGGCGACGTCGGTTGGGAGATTTACTCATTTGGTCAAGATGACTTTGCAGACGTCGGTTGGGCTGTGGACCTGATTCGGAAAGTTTTTCCTTTGTTTCTATTGACGTCTTCTTTGTCGTATTTGTCTGAGATGTTGATCTCAGATGTTGTGTTGCGTATGATGCCGTGTCTGGCCCTTGTCCAATCGACGTGACCCTTCGCTTGTCTCAGACGGTTAAGAGCTCCACGTGTCTCATGCCCATTGCAGGTTAGCGCGTCGTGGACAACGCGCCGTCTTGAACCCATGTGGGTCATGATTGCACGTATTAAATGTAGCAGGGGGACTTTACCATTTTACCCCTATCTTCCTAACTGTTCGGCACCCTTTCATCTTCGCGCCTGAGTGTTTTGCTCCCTTTAAATATCTATTTTTTTAACTGAAGCAGGATTTTCATTCCCCTTGGGTTTTCCTCCTTGTTTTGTCTTCATCGAGCGTTTCCTCTCCTTGCTGTTAGCGGAGGTTCTCCTTGAGTCCACAACTCCTCTCGTTATTCCTAGTTGCTTCGCTCACCTTTTATTCAGGTATTCCCTTCTTCCTCTTCGTTCTTGCTCGAACACTGTGGTTCGGTTATCGTTTGCATTTCCTTCTGACTTGAGTCTGGTTGTTTCTGGTTAAGGTGAGGGGAGAGTTTGTGTTTCCTTTGAGTCTTTGTTCGAAAGTTTTGAGGGAGTTTATCTGCCTCCTGTGACTTTGGGATTTGATTATGAGCATTCCCAGCCCATCTTCGGGTCCAGTTGCTAGCCGGGGTGGCGAAGAGGACAAAGAGGTAGTGAAACAAATGCCTCGATCCGTTCAATATTGGTTTTAGGGGAAAGAGTATACCGAGGAGGAGAAGCTTCAACAGCTTCTCCGCGGTCCTTGAGAAGGTCGCCAGAGTTCCCGAGGTGGATGCGGTAAGAGAGGTCGAAGAGAAGGGAGTCGTCATACTTAGCTTAATTTCGGATCGACTGATCCTCCTTTGGCTTCAAATCCTTCGACTATTGGGTTGGATTTTTCTCCTGACCCTGCTCCCTTATCCTACATCTTGCCTTCATCTCTGGTGATCCTTGGTCCGAGGTCCGTTTTGGATCGAATTCCTCCCCTTGGGTTGGATGACAGCTCTTCCAGCCTTTCTTCATCCGAATTTGGTTTTCTGGAGTCAAATTCCCCTTCTTATTTTGGTGATTCGGCTTTAAGTCAGACGCCATTTATTGATCTAGTCAGTAGCTCTGACAGCTCCATTCCTTTTTCGTGGAGTCCATGTTTGCTGCCGTCCGATCTCGGAAATCCAAGATCGGATTTGGCTGATTTTTGTACTGATCCTCATCCTTCATGTTCCAGGGCTATAGATATGGAGGAGTCGGACGTCCAAAATTGGGTTCTTCTTGAGATTCTTCATATGTGATCTACGATGTCTCCTGCCGACGTGGCCCAACTTCCAGTTGGAGACCCTTGTGGGGTTGATCTGCTCCCAGCAGGTGATCATCCTGTGTGCGTGGGTCCTAATATGGACGAGCCCCACTTCTTTTATCTTTACCGGGATCTGATTACAAAGTTAGGGATTCGGTTCCCCCTTACTGAGTTCCAGATGTCCGTGATCCGTAGACTTCGGATCGCCCTTCACAACTTCATCCCAATTCGTGGGCCTTCATCCGGGGTTTCGAGCAAGTGTGCGCGTATCTTTGCCTTCCCTGTACAGTTTTCCTGTTTTTCTTTTTATTTGATGTATATATAGCCCGGACTGGGGCCGAGGTTAAGGAAAGAAGAGGTTGGGTTACTCTTCGAGGTGCTCCGAACCGTGGTATTTTTATCCCCTACTCCCAATCTCTCAAAGGCTTTAAAGACGCCTATTTCAAAGTAGCAGCTCGTTCCGACTGCCTCCCCTGGTTTGCCTCATCTTGGCTAGACGAAGGGGATTTGGCATGTCGGTTCGAGCTTTATTGAAAGCAAAATCATTATCAATGGTGTCCTAGGGATTACGCTACCCCAGGAGTGGCTCTTTCCGAGTCAGAGAGGTTGGCGGCGTCCGTCTTGATTGGTTATGCCGATGAGTATGGCATTATTGATTTGAGTCGGATTGTAAATAAGTTTGGAGAGGATCTCCTTTGTGAGCTAGGTATGTGATTTTCCTTTATAATTTGTTTCCGACATATCTTATGATTTGAGTTCTGATCTTTGACTCTATTTTGCAGTTAGCATGACGAGCACTGAATATAAGAAATTCTTGCCCAAGAAGTCTGCGAGAGGAAAAGCCAAAGAAGTCACCTATTCCGAGGCCGAGGTCACGAAGAAACGACAGGTTGATGCCATGCTTGGCAGCAGTTCGGTGGGTGGTGAGGTAATCATAACTGATGTTTCTTCTCCTTCCTCATCGCCACTTCCGCCTCCCTCCACCGTTCCTCAAGGGAACCTGATAGCCTTAGAGCCTGGGGAGTTGTGGAGGGTCGGGGTTTTTGATCGTCTTAGGGCTGCCCTGTAGCCTCCTCTAGAGCTCATGATTGGCTCGGGCTTGACCTCTACTCTGAGGACTTTGCTAGTGCGGTTGGAGGAGGACTCTTTGAAGACCACCTCTTTGCTCCAGACCTTTCAAGACCTCAATCAGGGGCTCGACTTGTCTGTTGCTTCCAACTCGTCTCTCACTATCAAGGTGGGGGAGCTCAGCCAGGCTAAATCCGAGTTAGAGACACGGGTTCAAGAGTTGTCTTCCGAACTGGGCGAGGCAAAAAAGGCTTTGGAGTCGGCCACTGCTAGAGCGGATGGCTTAAGTGTTGAGAAGGAGACCCTCTCAAAGTCTATGGCTGACAAGGGAGCTCAGATTCAGAAACTGTAAGCCAACTTTGAGGAGGCCGAAGCCATGGTCATAAATGCCGCCACCTAAGCCTTTGACAATGCAATTGCACAAGCCCAGATTCTGAACCCTGGCCTCATTACTGATGGCATGGATGTGGCGTACGACGTGAAAGATGGTGCCATTGTCCCTGGAAATCTGGGCTCCGACTCTGATGGTGAGAAGGAGACCGAAGCCGAGGCTCGTGAACCCATTTCCCAACATGCTGCTGAATGAAGGGGTCAGAATGCCGACTTTTACCATGTATTGTTGTTATGGGCCGTTGAGCC